CTACACCTGCCGGCGCGAACTCGAATGGCTTGATACCAGCCAGACCGAATGGGCCAACATCCTTGAACAACGTTTCTGGTCCACGCGCACCCGGTCCGAGAGGTCCAATTCCTGTCAATGGCAATGTTGCGCCTAGACAAACATACGGTGGTTGGACTCATCCTCCCAAGGGAGAAGTCACGGATTATCCTCTCTTCACTACCAGGCGGGCTTTGCGTGATGGAATCCGATATCATGCAATGAGATTTTCTGGAAAGAAAGAGGTTGACCCGACAGATCAAAACGAGTTCACGCGACCAATTTCTCTTCATCGCAGAGACCCTCGGCAACCACCTCCGGGCAAAGCATTCAAGGATGAAGATGTAGTTATGGAGGACGCAGTCGATTCCAAGGAGAGAGAAAGACAAGAAATATTAAAGGCCGAGAAGGAGGCGCAAAAGGCTGCAGATCGTGCGCAAATAGCTCCTACTGGCAATAACGCCAATGCAGCAGCTGCTAAAAAAGCTCAAGCCTTCCGAAATGAAAAGACAACTCAAGTACATCGCTTAGATAAGACAGCAGAGCAAAAGAAAGAGTCCGATCTTAGATATGAGGAAGCGTTACCTTGGCACCTGGAAGACGCTGACAACAAGAACACTTGGGTCGGTAATTACGAGAGTGCCTTGTCAGAAGTCAATGTTATGTTTTTCACAGAGGGAAGTGCTTTCAAGATGATTCCAGTCGAGAAGTGGTACAAGTTTACCTCGAAAAACAAATTCAATACTCTCACAATCGATGAAGCGGAAGCTTTGTTGAGTAAAAAGACCAAAGAATCTAGATGGGCTATGAAAACCCAAGAGAGAAACGAAGCTCAACGTGCAACTCAGGAAAATATCCGGGGGATGAATAAGTTGTATACTGTCAAGACAGAGAGTGCAAGTTTCAAGGGATCGAGCAGAAATGAAACAAGAGATATCGATGAGCTTGATTTTGATGCTGATGATTTGTTTCAGGATGATGATGAGCTTGCCACAGTTGAGCCAGATAGGGACGAAGATACAAAGGATGCTCAGGAAAGAATCAAGCAAGATCAAAGAGGTGCCAACTTGTTTGGTGAAGCAGATGAAGAAACTGTTGAGAAAGACTTCATCAAAGAAGAACAAGAATTGGAGGCAAAGAAGAAATTAGGAAAGGGTGTCCGAAAGGCTTTAACCAAGCGCGAAAAGAATTTCATCTATGATAGTGATTCTAGCAATCCATATGCTTCTTCAGATGTATGCATTTTTCAAAAGTCATTCAATCTACCTACTAACGTTTATCAGAGCGAAGATGATACCTCCGATGAAGAAAAGCAAAAGGAGATCGACAAGAAGAAAGATGAAGAGGCCAAAGCCAAATTAAAGGCCGAAGCAAAGCCTTCGGGTACTTCGTCAAAAGGCAACACCACACCTTCCGGTCGACCTAAGCACACTGATCCTTTGAAGAAATCCAAGAATCTTAAGAGAGCTGGATCCCCAAACCTTTCAGAATCTAGTGGAAACGAATCTTCCAGAAAGAAGCATAAGAAGAAGCATGTCGGCTCATCGCAACCTACAGGTACATCTACTCCAATTCCGGGTCAACCTCAGAGGAAATCATCTATTGTCAAGATGTCAGTAAATTCAAGCGAACTCTCAAGAATCAGTTCTTCTACACCCAACCCGCAAACTGCCACAAGCGACGGAGAAGCCACAGGTGGTGAGATGTCAGATGGAGCCGGTTCAAAGAAGAAAAAGATCACTCTTCGTATGGGAGGATCGCCAACGACTTCAAGACCTGGTAGTCCAATTCCTGGTAAATCGAGTGGTAGCCGTGCTGGTAGCCCTTCTCAAGGAGCTGGTAAGCATGTCTTTTTTGCTCATTGTTCCGCAATTCTTTAGATAATAGACATATACTAATGATATCACTACAGAAGCTACATCTCCCTCTGGTTCTGGACCAATCACGCCCAAAGATATTGCTGGTCTGCCTTCAACAGGTGTCTCCATTAGTCAAATATTGGCATACTTCCGTGGAAGAGTTGGTGATGGTGAAGGACAGACCACTAAAAAGGAGTTTATGGAAATGATCAAGAAATATACTAAATATGGACCTGACAAACTTTTGCGACCAAAAGTTTAGGAAGCATGGTATCATGGTTGTTTGGATCTTTTTGGAGAAATGGGTTTCGGTGTCCAAATCTAATCGTGGAGGGAATTTAATGGTGGATAGCGGGTGAGAATGTGAGATGGGAGATGATATAATATCTTACCAAAAAGGGTGTTTGGTGACATGGATATGAGAGGAACGTACATTGGCCGCTATGGTACATGCAACGAATTTGTTACAATGGCCCCGGGGTATTATGATGCATTGGGATGGGAAGGCAAATATCTTTCAAATTGGCGAAGATGGGATGATATTAATTGCAAATACCATTGAGGAAGGGATGAAAAGATTTACTCGTGGTGCTCAAGTATAATATTCATATGTGGTCGATCAGGCCATGTGTGCAAAGTTTTCTTGATGTTCTCAGATGCCATTCACAGTTTGTCTACAACACCTACATAGAATTGGGAAGAAAATAAGAATATGCAGATATACATGATTTTCATGATTGTGCCGTGCATTATCATTATCTGAACTCCATTGATCGTCGCTTTCCCGGGGTATACGTAAGTGGCAATTTGTAATATGTAACATAGGTTTAGGTGTCCATCTGCCATTGAAAATCCAAATCCTTATTCCTCGACCTCCTATTCTCCCCTTTAAACCTCTCTGCCTCCCATCCATTGCCCCTATCCACCCCATCCCATCGATGACCCGGCCGAATGCCATATCTATTCGGCGCTGCCGAACCTTTGTATAATGGTTTTCCCGTCCTACTTTTGCCCTTCTTCTCTTTACTCAAAAACTGCATCGCGGGATCATTCCACCGCTCTACTTCCTTCAATTCCTCATTCATCTCCACATCATCCACCCCCCTCGCCACCGTCATAAACTTCGCTTCATCTAACTCCTCTCTTCTTTTCGCCTTTGCTAATAATTGTATGTCTCCCTTTTGCGCCTCTAGTTCTTCCAATTCCTTTCGTGCCTTTTCATCCATTTCTTTCTTAGCTTCGGAACGTCGCATACTTATGTCGATTCGCCGACCCGTTGCATCTCGATAGACAGTTTCTTCTTTCCCTTTACTCTTGCCCGAACCGGATTCGCGCGCCCATTGCGCGGCTTCAACTCGCTTTTTCTTTTCAGCTTGCGCAGCTGCCTCATCGCGAGTTTGAAGCCCGCCGCGGGTCTCTTCAATTGTAGGTTCTTCGTCGGCGTGCAGAGCGGCAGAGTTCTCGGCGGCGGCTTGCTGGATTATCCGGTCTGCTTCGGCGGTATCTTCATTCTGTGGTTGGAGAGCAGGTACGCCGACAGTTTTCCAAGATGATTTTTTGGATTTGCGAAATTCAGAGGTGCTATTGTTGGTGATCATGGGGGTATCATCGTCGTCGGCATGGTCTTGAGGATTGGACCAGCCGGGAGCATCGTCGTCGGCAATTATGAGACCGGTTTGCGCGGCAGCCTTGCGTTTGCGTTTTTTGTCTTTGGGGGTACTGGAAGAGGGGGTGGAGGCGGTGAGGTAATTTTTGGCGAGATAGGAGGAGAGTGACATGCTGGGTGGTGATGCTTGTGCTGTGAATCCTATGATAGGAGACTGATAATTTCGATAGCTTGAAAGGTGCTATGTAGATAGCGTTCAATGACGCGGGTGTAGAGACCACAATGCGGAACAATGCCTCGGTCTGATCACAAGCTATACTTGATTTCGACGTCCTAGTATGCTAACCTGCTCGGTTCCGATCTTTTGTGAAGGTAAATAAGGTACTTTGTAAATTTGATGAAAGTTCGGACTTCAAATCTAGCCTGTGTGCGTCAATGCGAGGCTGAGTATAACTTTTAGCCTCATGCGACGTCGCGGCAATTTCGCTTGACATGTACGCTAAAACATTATAATGGGTCTAGCGCACAATAGCCTTGTCGAGTCATGAGGCGGCCAACCAAAGTGCAGATCTAATAATTTGGTATGAGCAATTGCAAATTGGGGGCCACAAATTGGAAATATCGTTTCTATTCTTGGATTCCTTCAAGACCAGATACCTGGGTGGTGAGAGAGATTGATAATCAAAGGTATCCAATGATTAGCTCCTCATGACATCTGTACCACTGGTTCGTCAGAAGATTCCAATTTTGTATGACTACATACTAATAATTGGATGCATAAACATACAGATAGATGTACATTGCCCCTTTCAATCGACTCTCAGACCTATTCTCAAGAGCACAACCATGCGTCCAGGGACTTGCCACTGCCACTGCCGCTATTGTACGGAACGGTTCACCGGCATTGAGCTCTTTAGCAACCTACAAGTCATTTTCACCACTACACTAGGTATTAAGGACAGCCATTGTACAATACAGTCCGTACACAAATCCGGTTTATTGAGCCTGGATTCCGGAAATCTTGGACCTGAAACATCAAATCCATTCTAAGGGGACGTGTCAACCCCACTGCCAACTTTATGCCGTGAGGTATAACTTCCAGGGGACTTTCCGAGTATGGCAATTCATTCCAAATGGGTATGAAGCTCGTGCTTTACTGTAGATCAGTTCATTACTAGTCCGAAAGTACTCAAAAATCTCTCAGTATTCACTTCCCCCATTCCTTTCCAGACCTTTCTCACCAGGTTACATCCAATGGTATCAAGTGCTTTGATAGAATGCTATTTTATGTTATCCGCATTGACCATATTTCTATCTGGACAGTAATCAGATCAAGTCTATGAGAGCAAAGTTGCTGGACGGCTTCTGGAATTTCGTCCGAAGGTACCCCATATTTTTACACAAAATATGGAGATGATGATTTTTCAAGTCAGGTACGGAACAGGGGGCTCCAGTATAGGAAAGACACTTTCATTTCGGAGAGTAGATCTACCTTTCTCATTCGAGATGATCAACATGATAGCTTCAACGCTATGCCAAGATTCAAGGGGTGAGAACGTTATGGTCGTCGTCTTTAAAAGATGTTCTCCTCTCCATGATTATTTTACTTTTCAAGCCTGCTTTGCATTCTTTACCACTCTCTTTACGAAAGGTCCTTCTAGGCCTGTTACAATCTTTTATTTTTATTTTTTCATATTAAACACATTCATTTTCATTTATTGTTATTCTATCAGTCATGTTTTCATCGTCTCTCGGGACGGCCCTCGTTGGGGCAGTCCTTGCTACAAACGTAGCAGCATATCCACCGGCTTATGCACCTGAAAAGTATTCTGATCGTATAGACGTCGTCCATACTGGTATTTCTGCCGGCGTACACTCTGGTGTGGCTGCAAGACACACATCCCACAAGCAGCTTTGCAGACATGACATTGGCTGCTCGAGACAGAATGAGGTGTTGTTAGATACGTAAGAGTTACCAAAGATGATTTCATGTTAGGTTTGTTGCTAACATATTTGTAGTGGAGTCAGTGCCGCATTGGACGTATTTGGTCTTCTTGACCTCGGTCTTGGTGCAGATATCGGGATCAGCTTTGGAAGTGCATCAGGATGCCAAATCAAGTGTGTTGATTGTCGCACATGGGGTACAGCCGTCGTCACCAACACCGTGGCCGAAATTTCCAGCAACATCATCGAAGAGGTGATCGAGTTCTTGGAACGTCCTTACGAAACCATTGTTGAAGCCGCAAGCTTGGAATGTTTGATTTCTTTGGAGGATGTTGGAGGACACATCGAACTCAATGTCTTCGCCGCTGAATCCGCCACTTACACTCTCAATATTTTCGAAGCTGGTCTTATTGCTGATGTTTCTATCCTCGATACTGTCTCGGTTGGCTTGAACGTTTTCCTCGATTTGGTTATCTCCGTCGATGCTCAAGTCGATCTTTCTGCTGGTTTCGAATTCTCCTTCCCAGAAGGTGCTTCCCTTACTGTTGACCTCTTGGCCGGTGCTATCAAGGACTATAACTTCGACGGAGCTGTCATGAATGACCTTCCTATCGTTGTTCTTGCTGGTGAAGCCACATTACAAGCTTCTATTCGCTGCAGAGTTGAGGCTGGTACTACCGTCTCTCTATTGGGCATTGGATACGGCTTTGAACTTGGTGTCTATGCCGATTTGCTTCAATATGTCACTGAAATCGGTAGCACCGATAATTGTCCACTTTCCATCTCGGGTGCCGTCGATGTCAACATTGGTGCATATGCCGCTTCCGTTGCAAACATCGACTTTGCTGCATTCGAGATTGCACCAACCGCCGCTATCACTGTGAATGCTGGTGCCCTAGCTGCTATTTGCACCACTAGACCAACTTCTACCAGAGCTTTGGGTGCTATTTCCACTGGATCTGCTTCCAGTGGCTCTGATTCCACTGGCTCGGGTTCCAGTGGTTCGGGTTCCAGTGGCTCTGGTTCCGACGGTCTTGGTGGTTCGATCTCTATTGGTCTCGGAGGGTCTGGCTCTGATTCCGGTTCGTCAGGATCTAACTCTGATTCCGCCCCATCTGGAACTGGACGTTTCGCGAATGGCACTGTCCTAACTGCTTCCCGGCCATCCGGTTCTTCCGCCACTGGATCATTAATTGGAACCATTACTAGTGCAGCATCTTTGACCACATCTACAGCTTACGCTACCCAAGTTACTACCATTACCAGCTGTGCTTCAAATGTTATCCATTGTCCAGCATCCCTTGCAGGTACCACCGTTGTTACTCAAACCGTTGTCGATTATACAACTGTTTGCCCAGTTACTGAGGCTGGCAACACCGCGTCAGGAGCCATTCCATCAAGCTTGCCATCACTTACTACCACGGCCAAGACCAATGTTGCCCCATCATCTATTCCTGGCACAATCATTCTTACCTCAGTCGCATCAGCAAGCCCATCTACTTTCGATGTCCCAAGGACAACTCCTACCGCTGTCGTTCCCGTCGGTACTGGACCTTCAAGCACTAACTTGGCATCCATCACCTCCGCCTTGTCCAGTGAACTCTCAGGCTCCTCTCCTTCATCGAGTGTGATTGGTTTCGGAAGTGACACTGCTTCAGTTCCTACCCCAAGCAGCACTGGAGAGCTTAGCGGTGAGACCACCTCCCCAGCTGGTTCATCCCCAAGTGCTTCAGGACCAAACGGTTCTTCCCCAAGTGCCTCAGGACCAAACGGCTCTTCCCCAAGTGCCTCAGGATCAAACGGTTCATCTCCATCAAGCTCTATCGCAACTGGCTCATCCCCAAGTGGTTCTCCATCTGGAAGTGGTGCCTCTCCAAGTGCTTCCGGCTCAAACGGCTCTTCCCCAAGTGCCTCAGGATCAGAAAATGGTTCATCTCCATCTGGCAGCGCCGCTGCATCTGCTCCATGTGTTTCATCAGGCGCTCTTCTCTCTGGTCAAACTGCTTGCCCAGTTTCTGGCTCTACTCCAGCTCAAACCAGCTCTGGTGAACTCAGCGGACTTTCCACCGCCCCAGCTGGATCTTCTCCATCATCTGTCGCTTCCGGTTCATCCCCAAGTGCATCTAACGGAGTTTATCCATCTGGATCTTCGCCCAATGCTTCGGGATCAACCCAACCTTCTGCCAGTGGTTCATTGCCAGCCGTTTCTTCCAATGGATCTTCTCCATCCGGATCTGCCAACGTCTCAAGCCCATCTGGTACTACCGATTCGAGTGGTGCTAGTGTCACTGGAGGTTCTTCTCCATCTGCCTCCTCATCCGAAACTGTTTACACAACCGTTATCGTCGATTCGTACACTACTGTTTGCCCTGTTACCATGACACAAACTAGTGATGGTGTAACAAGTGTTTTGACCACTTCTACCATTTCAACTGTCTATAGCTCTTCCACCATGACTGCCACCAAGACTGTTGTCGTGAAGCCATCTGGTTCATCTCCATCTGAATCCGCTCAAATCACTGGCCCAGCTGCTTCGTCACCAGGATTCTCATCTGAGACTGTTTACACTACCGTTATTGTTGATTCATACACCACAATCTGCCCAGTCACTTTGACTCAAACCACTGGAGGAACCACTAGCGTCTTCACTACTTCTAGCACCTCCACAGTCTACAGCTCATCAACCGCTACTGGTACACGTACTATCACGGTTGCACCTTCCGCAACTTCCGATTCCGAGGGTGCTAGTGTCATTCCATCTGGTTCTGCTCAAGTTACTGGCCCAGCTGTCTCTTCTCCAGTTCAATCTTCCGAAACTGTCTACACAACCGTCATTGTTGACTCTTACACTACAGTTTGCCCAGTAACTCTCACCCACACCAGCCAAGGTACAACCAGCTTTGAGACAACCACCAGCTTGTCCACTGTTTACAGCACCTCCACTCGTGTCGCTACTAGCACTGTTGTCGCGACCACAGTAGCCTCTGCCCCAGTTGTCTCTGCTTCAACTCAATCTTCCGAAACTGTCTTCACAACTGTCATCGTTGACTCTTACACTACAGTTTGCCCAGTAACTCTCACCCACACCAGCCAAGGTACAACCAGCTTTGAAACCACCACCAGCTTGTCCACTGTTTACAGCACCTCCACTCGTGTCGCTACTAGCACTATTGTCGCGACCCCAGTGGCTTCCGCTCCAGTAGGCTCCGTCCCAGCTGTTTCCCAAGGTGTTTCTACCGAACAACTTTACAGCACAGTCTCCGTCCAATCATACGTTACTGTCTACCCAGTAACTTTGACCCAGACCAACGGAGGAGTCACCAGTCTTGAGACAACAACAAGCTATGCGACAATTTTCCAGTCTTCCACCATCTATGCCACTAGAACAGTTGCCATTAAAACACAAGGAACTTCTACCCCAAGCGGTTCTGTCGTTGTTCCACAAGGTAGCGCACAAGCATCCGGACCAGCCCCATCATCTACTTTTGGCAATTCTGGTGTCTCTGCTCCATCTCCATCTGCCTCTGTCGTTTCCAGCAACAATGTCCCTGTCGCTTCTACTCCAGCTTCTACACAAACTGGATCTAACTCAGGAAACTCTGGAAATGGATCCCCATCTGTTGCAAGTTTGAGTGCCACAACCGGTAGCCCATCCTCCGCTATCAACACTAACAGTGGAGATATGCTTTACAGCACTGTAACAGTTGTTCCAGTTGCTAGTCAAGCAGTCAGCTCAGCTCAAGGTTTGACTACACCTGCACCAGCAACTGGTTCCTCTCAACCATTGACCTCTGCCATTGGTGTATCTGGAAGTGCAGGTTCTGAAGAATGTGCTCAACCATCTGTTATCACCATTTCTGCTTCTCCTTCTATTCTCACTGTTGTAAGTTTTCCCTTGTGATTTTCTTTTAGTTCTACAGCTAATCAAACATAGACTCAATCTGCATCCGTCATTACCATCATTCAAACTGTCGGTGCTAGCTCTCCATCTGGTGTTGCTTACCCAGGGTCTCCTGAGAACTCTACCGTCTCTGGTCTCCCAGGTAAGGCTGTTTCAGTCTCATCTTCTCAGGGCATCACCATCGCTTCATCGACTATGATTGTTCCAGGTTCAGGTGCATCATCCACTATTGTTGTACCAGGAGCTATTCTCCCCACTGGATCTCAAGTCTACCCAGTTGGTTCATCCACTGTTGTTGTACCAGGAGTTGTTACCCCTACTGGATCTGGATCTGAAGTCTACCCAGTTGGTTCATCCACTGTTGTTGTACCAGGAGCTATCGCTCCCACAGGATCTCCAGTCTACCCAGTTGGCTCATCCAACAACGGTACCTCTGGACATTATGCTAGTGGAACAAGCAGTAACAAACCCACTCAACCAACTTCTTCTGTCACTGTCACTGGCATCACTGCCGCAAGTGGATCAGCGACTGCATCCCCAAGCATGATTATCACTGGTTCTGCTAGCCGTTCTAGCATCTCCATGGGATTGATTGCTGTCATTATGGGCGCTGTTGCTCTTTTGTAAATTAGGTGATTGAAAAAAGGTGGATAGTATATGAGTGGTATGAACTGAACTGGAGGGTTTCCTATGTCTGAACGAGGTATGGATACTGTTGAGTATCGTGTACAGTATTTTAATGTAATTTTTATTCAAAAATAAATTACGGAGAGAAGATTTGTTGTATAGACACTTCTTTTCGTCCAGTAGATAGTCAATACATATTTGACAAACTGTACCATTATGGTTTTCTGGGATTGTTTTTGGTGACTGTATTTTGTAAGAGAGTATGAGTGTATGAGATGATTGTATGAATTGAGATGATTATATAAACTAAAATAATCATATAAACTATAACAATCATATAAACTAAGATTCTAATATAATAACTCAGGCCGGATAATTATCAATCATTAATCAAAAATAGATAGATATCTAGATATCTGAATAGATAAGATAGGAATCAGAACAAATAATTAAAAGCTTACTTTACTTTACTTTATTTACTTATAAAAGAAGAAGAAGAAGAAAAAAAAGAAAAAGAATAGTTAAGTTAATTAAATAGTTAGCTAGATTGTATTTTGTATTTTGTATCTAATATCTAATATCTAATATCTAATATCTAATATCTAATATCTAATATCTAATATCTAATATCTAATATCTAATATCTAATATCTAATATCTAATATCTAATATCTAATATCTAATATCTAATATCTAATATCTAATATCTAATATCTAATATCTAATATCTAATATATTAGAAGATTGAGTGGAAAAGACCTTTATATTGACTATTTATTTATTTATTTATTTATTTATTTTAATTTATATCCAGGGGGCAAGCTGCAGGGGCTCGCTACAATCTCCTAGAGGATACTAGGAATGGATTATGCTAATGGGGATGCCAGCATAGCTATACATTTCGTTTTTCTACGATTGTAATACAGATTAGGGAAAAAACAGCTAGGGGTACTGTACATGCTTTTACTATTTATTTCCTGCTTGCAATATTGGTATTGTTTAATTCACTTTATACTGAATAGTTTAGATTTATAATTAACTAGAGGGTTTTATATTGTTAGTTTTTGTTTGGTATAGTTTGTATATAATAATGAAAAAGGGAAAGCAGCTTTAGAGGAGATATAGCTTTAGTTGATAATATGAAAATGGGAGATTAGAGGATCTTTGGAAAAACTGAATATAATTGCTTGAAGTGATTAGTGATTGTTAGAAAGATTGCAAAGTCTGTTGGGGTTTTCAGAAGAAAAGAGAAATAATCGATTGTATTCTTTGTATTTCGTAGAATTGAGTTGGGTTTGTTTGGTTAATTATTGAATTGAATACAAAAGTATTAATAGAGCATTAAGTGTTTAGGCTTTTTGCTATATCTATAAAAACATTTTGAAATAATATTGTTATACTAAAAGTATTGATGGTAGAACGCAAAGTCCTTATATCCGGTTCTGAGTATTATTAATTGCTGAAGAATAGAATGGGGGAGAACAAGTTCCTTAGATTCCTTGACTTAATAACTGAGATGCTAGTAATAGTATCGATTAGCGAAGGTAACCTCATTTCGTTTTCACTATCTCTATTCTGCTTTTCATCTAAAGATTTTAGTTATTAAATTTATCCTATTAATAATAAAAAGCAATGAGTTATTGTTTTTGATATAATTACTGCAAATGCCCAGATTGATAAGCCGATTGGCCTTTTTGTTTTCAAGGATTCTAGTATATCTAGGTAATCATTGGATTGCTATTTATCTGTTTCTCATAATCTTATAATAATATAGAAATGCCTATTGAAATGAATTAGAGGCGTTGCTTTTAATATATTAGATAATTAAGGTACTATCAATACATATAGTGATTTGCTTAGCTAACTTTAATCGAACAATGTATTCCAAATCTTTTAGAGTATTTATTATCTTGATATCGAAAATATACAAAAGCAAATTGATTGTTCTATAATTGGATACTATTGGAAATTATTTCCGATAGATTGTATAGCCATAGCCGATTATCTTTTGTTCTTAATAATATTATTCAATACTATTCGAGAAGATTGTGATATGGCTATTAGATAGATAATTCTATTATTATATGAATTCAAATACAACTACTTCTTTCTTTATACCTTCTATAGAATTGTTATAGCTCTCTGCAAAAAAATATAGCGAGGAAAATATTGGTTTTGATATTTTCAGAATCAATCCAACTAGTTTATGAAAATTGATATTGTTTATCTTATATTGAAATACCTATATTAAATAAATTACTAATAAATAATTTTCGTTTATTTTGTAGAGTCAGAACACAAATCTTATTCATATTTGTTTGAGTGCTAGCTTGTTAAATAGTAATCTAAAGTCTCTCAGAATTGTAATGATCAGAATCATATATCAAGTAAATAGAATTCCTTTTGCTATTAGAATAATCGCTTGATTAACTTTAATAATGTGATTACCCAGCCTTATGTTTATTATTATACCACAAACAGCTCCCCCCACCCGGTTTAGCTTTGTTCAGCTTGTATATTATGCCTCGGATCTATAAAGAGCAGAGAGAAGGATATAAATAATCACCCCCTTGCATAGCACTACAGCTAGCGGGCTGTGGTATATCTATACAAGCCCTTTGATATATTTTACAACCTTGTGGGCTTTTGCTTTTCGTTCTGCTATATATCTTTTGAAGGAGAGCTTCCAATCAAATCAGACTCCCAGCCAGTGTAGAGCTGGTTGAACAGTTTTGTTACTCGTTTTGCTGATTGAATGGATTGTTATTTTATTGTTCATCTTTAGGTATAGAATGTATACCTCTTTTCTTTAGAAAAGATATATTATTTCTAGCTTTTTTGATATAAACATTATATAGTTTCGTTCACTCTATTGAAAAATCTAGTGGAGATTGTATTTGAGAAGATCAATGTTTTTACAAATATTCTTGGATATGTAGTAGATATAGATATTATCAGCATACCCGAAGTGTAGCTTAGTATTTTGATTCAAAAGCTTAGTAAGGTATAGAATATATAATACAGATAAGAGTGGGGAGCTTTATGGGGTACTACATTTAATATAGCTATATTCTATAATTGCGTTTTCTAATTAAACTTTTATTAAACAGTTGTTCAAAAAAATTTAGACTAATTATAGGAGGGAATAGGGCCACCCTTACTGACACATACATTCCAGTAGCCTGTTTGATAAAAGTATATCGAATACACCTTGTATGTTCAGTATAACCATTGTGACTTCTTGTTTGCAGGCAAAAACCTTTTCGATATTATATACAAACGAAATAACTAAGTCCATTACTGTTCACTTGAGAAGTGCTTCACTATATTGGGGGCTGAGTATGCCTACTATCATTGCAGTTTATGAGATATATCAAGTGATTATATATTTCAGACCCTTCGAAATATATGAGAATAGAATTATCGATTACTAGGATTATATTAACGATTTGTTTTTCTTTTTGATCTTAGGGATTATTATTACCTTTGTTTATCTTTATTTATTTGAGAAGTAATTAAGTTGTAGATATTTATTAAAAATTCTAGCGATTATTAATTCAATAAAGTCTTACTAAACCTTCAGAAGGCAAACAGTAATCTGGTCGGGTTCTGGTAAGATATTCGAAACTCTTATAATACTTTTTTCCATTTCTTTAAGGAATACTTCCGTGTTCTATGGGAGTTTGTTGGGTATGCGGTTTGGTTGGAATAGGTTTGTTGTGAGATTGTTATTATTATCAAAACGTTCGAGGATTTCCTTTTATAGAATTTGGGCTTTTTTTGTGATGTTTTTGATCGCTATGCTATTGATGATCAGAAATGGTGCTCTAAGGTTGACAGTAAGCTTATACCAACTAATCACTTTATATAGATCTCTGTCGCAGCTTACCCTGTCAATGATCCCGTGCCAGTATTAGCGTATCTAATAGGCTTAAGTAACCATATTATTAATCTCATCACGTGCTTAGCGCTGGTAACTTCTATTCCTTTTAACAATTTATTTATTTATTTATTTATTTATTTATTTATTTATTTATTTATTTATTTATTTATTTATTTATTTATTTATTTATTTATTTATTTATTTATTTATTTATTTATTTATTTATTTATTTATTTATTTATTTATTTATTTATTTATTTATTTATTTATTTATTTATTTATTTATCTACCTATCTACCCATCTACCTACTTACTTCATACCTATTTACCCATCTACCCATCTACCCATCTACCTACCTACCTACCTACCTACCTACCTACCTACTCATCTAAAACAACCAACCACATTCAACAGTTCTATAACAATTCTACAACAATACAATACAAAACAATTCACACTACCTGCACAATAAAAGTTCCTCAAGTTGCTAAAGCTCACAATTCAAAATTGAGAATTATACATTCATTTAATCTACTCTTTCCTAAGCTAATACCCCTTCAAGTACAAAGGATTGCCTTATCCTTTCGCTTCACAGCATCCATCCATCCAATTTACTTGATATACTTTACAAAAGAAAAGAAAAAAGAAGAAATGCCATTCCCAGACTAAGTCGAATTTATCCCCAACATTCAACTTCAATCAAATGCAGAAATCCCCTCCATCCAGCCGTTTACGTGAGCCCTCACGCCATGCCCCCGCTATGAACAAAAGAGAGAAAGAGAAAAGAGACCAAAAGGAAAGACCAAAACATTTTACAAAAACAAGGATTGTTTCAATTCCAAACGACAATCATTTTAAATCCAATTCAATTCAAGATTTTTTTAAGAATAACGCCAGGCTATGCTGTCAACCTATTACATATTCTATCCATAGTATCCAGAGTTCCTCTGTCCTCCTTGCGTTGGTGGATATTGAGGGAAATATTGCTGTTGTTGAGAATATTGATGAGGGGAAGCTTGATGCCCAGGAGAGTGTGCTAAGGTTGGTTGGTATTGTCCAGGTGAGTGAGCCATGGTTGTTTGATATTGTCCAGGCGAGTGAGCCATGGTTGTTTGATATTGTCCAGGCGAGTGAGCCATGGTTGTTTGATATTGTCCAGGTGAGTGTGCCAAAGTTGTTTGATATTGTCCTGGTAATTGCGCTGGTGTTGTCCATGCTGCTGCCTGAGGGAAGTTTAGCCCCATCCATGAACCTCTCTTACTAGGTACTGCAAACTGTGATGGTGAATAGTTGGTATTAGCATATTGGGACTGGCGACGGTTCTGCTCAGTTTGTTGCAAAAGACGAGTTTGTTCAGCTAATTGTTGATCAAGGCGACGTTGTTCAGCTTGCTGCTGCTGCTGCTGTTGTTGTTGCTGAGCCAATTGCTGTTGACGAAGTGCAATTGCATGCTGTACCGACTGCGATTTGAGTCCTTGCTTGACATGTTGCTTTTCCTTCTCACGCGAACCAATAGCTCCAACGAGACCAGCAGAAACAACGTTATCTTTATTAGTATTCTTAGCCATGGCAATGAGGGGTCCACCAGTCATTTTAGCAACAAAAGCTTGCTCTCGAGCAGAGAGACTTGTTGTAAGGGTGCCATTTCCAGAGGGCCCTAAAACTCTGTTTGCACCTCTGGAGCTTGGACGTAAAAGATCAGCTGAACTGTGACGTGCGTGTTGCTGTTGACCATACACTTCAGCAGAATTTAATAGATCTGTTGAGTTACGACGTGAGTTACGGTTTTGACCAAGTCCTTCATTGAAATTTAACAAGTCTGCTGAGCTATGGCGTGAGTGACGATTTTGACCATGTCCTTCATTAAAATTTAATAAATCTGCTGAGCTATGGCGTGAATGTTGACCTATCAGTGCACTGGAACGCTTAGAAGTTTGACCTGGCGTAGGGGAAGGGGTATATCGTCCAGGTGTAGGGGAAGGCGTGGCGCGTGCAGGTGTAGGAGAAGTTGCACGTAGAATGTTGCCTGAAGGCTGACGTTGGTGGATATATTGCGGTGTGGCAGCAGCAACCATGGAACGCTGCTGAACATACTCTTCCGCCGTCAAACCTTGTTTGTGGCCAAAGGTATTATTAGCAGCGGTTGCACTCATTCCAGGTTGCCAAGCTAGTGCATTGCCGCTAGGAGATCTTTCATGACTTGGACGCTTTTCAGGACTTGAGTGATTAAAATTATTCTGTTTAGGAGGAGGGCTTGGAGAGTCTTGACCGGGTGCTCGATTGAGATCAAAGGTAGGACCAAAATCAATATCAACTCCTTTTGACAATGTGTTTTCGTCACCATAAAGCGGCTGCCCAACTTCGATATTGCCGATGATCTTCTTCTTCCCTGCTCGAGGCTTTTCGACAGACTCTTGCGTGCGTACAGATCGCACAGACTTTTTGGTACTGGCATAATCTGGGGTACCAGTTGATGCAGCGTCGTCATATGCACTACTTAAATCACTATTGTGTCTATTCATCTGGGGGAGCTTAAAGTCGTCTGCTTTAGGCAATATCAAGTCGAAAGCACCTGAATCGAGAATATGTTGAGTCAAGCTCCCAGAGCTAGAAGGTGGATGCGACGAATTAGGGCTTGATTGGTTCTCTTCTTGTGTAGGAGGAGGCTTTCTTGAGATGCTTTGGCTGGTCTGTAGACGAGATGATTGGCTAGAGGGGTTCTTTGGTGGGAGCATATCGTTTGAGAGATTCGGTTGTGATCTTGAATTAAAATTTGTATTATTAGATTGATAGTGTTGGTTTTGATACGGGATTTGATCGCGGTTCGAGGGAAGAGTGGACTCTTGTTCGTTACGAGGTTCGTAGGTTGCTACGATGCCTTCATTAATGATGTCATGGTTAGCAGGCATATGGTGATATCTGGTGACGTCTGACAGTACCCCTCTACCTTGATCTTCATCCTCCTCTATTCTATCATGCGTTTGAGCATTCAATCCTCGTCGGTCTTGACTTTGGTAAGTGGCTGCAGCACCGGCAGCACCAGTTAACTGAGATAATGTTGCGGTAGACATGCGATTATTCGCTTTTCGAAGATCTGTTGATTGCAGGGGTTTGCTGGGGGGTTGAGCGCCCGGCGCGTGTTTGAAAGCTGGGGGTGCAGCTACAGGTTCTGGAACCGTAACCGTTTGCAATTCTCGTAGTTCGCGAACTGGAGTTGCACTGGCTGCCTGCTCATCTTCTGAACTGAGGCGGTCGGGGGAAGGTGTAGCATCTTGTGCGTATTTCAAATCTGAGCCAGTGTGCAGTGGGATAGGAGCAGGTTCAAAAGCTCCATCAAAGACAGAAGGATTTTGATTCTGATCACGGCTGGGTGGTTGAGATTCAGATATTGACCTTTGATGAGGCGCTCCTGAGGTCTTTGGCTGTTGAAATGCAACAGGTGCCGAATCAGTTCTAGGGAGACCGCTATAGCCAACATCTCCCGCCGGACGGGCACCAAACTGTATCGATGGTGATGATCTAACCGATGCTGCATCGTCAAACTGAAGGCGAGTCCGAGGATTTCCTACACTATTGCGACTTCTTCTACTGCCGTACTGGCTATTTCTTTGGCTGTTGTTTCTGAGAGTCACCATTCGCTTCGCTGTCAAATCTTTCATTCTTCCTCTCCATTCAGATTCTAGCCAGTTAGCGCTACCTTGCTCCGATATTAGACTTGAAACATCGAGGGTTTCTAAATATCCATATCTTCGGTGTTCTGGCATTGCAAACATCAAACTTCTGGTGTCATTTGTCTCTGCAATCAAACGACCAGGACGTCCATACAGACCAAACGTATCGTAGACCGGAAAAAGCCAGCGGAGCATCATTTCAAAGCCACTTACAGCCGGATGTACCTCGGGCATGACGAATACGAATCCTTCAGATGTCAAAGGGGGGTTTGAGTGAATCGTAATAGATCCTTCAACCTTGACTAAAGTGGAAGCATCTATGAGTGGTTTGGATTGAGGATATATGGCAAACGCAGAATATGCATCGTTAATCGTAGCGATTGGTCGAACTTTTTTCGTCCTCTTGGAATCATAAAATTTGATGTCGCCTTTCAATATAGGGGGTCGGGAGCGATCATATGCCGACCTCTTCTTTTGCGATTGCTTTTGTAATCGCTGGACTTCCTTTTCATCGGGTGGAGTAATTACGCACCAACATCGTCTCCAAGGCGTTCCAGCGCCAAATCTCACTCGGGCCCAGTCTGCAGTTTGGATCCTTGAGCGCTCCATGATGGGTCTGATGTTGTTTAATAATTTACCCTTACCAGCAATGAGCGCACCTGTGTAGGCTTCTTGTAATGACGCATGCTCAAACATACAGAGACGGATACCGGCGGTCCATTGAACCAACGAGTGATGTGAATTGAAATGCAATAGGTATCTATTCTTACCAGCTGTGGATATGCTGAGGACATTCTGTAAAGGTGCTTCTGTGGGTGACCTTGTGGGAAGGGATTCGATCTATAGACTATTAGTAGGTGGAATCATACCAATTTTGAGAAGAGTAAAAGTAACCATTTTGATCGAGGCATCTGTGAGATTGATAAACTTTGGGAGGACCTCTCCGTCTTGCCCAGCAGCATCTAACTCTGCTGCATCCCACAATGAAAGGATAGTTCCCACAAGCTGTGCAAAACACTCTGTCCAGGTTCGGTCGGCATTGGCCTTGCCGTCTGCATGATGTTAGATTAAAATGCTCTACCAATGTAGAAAATAATACGTACGTATGTTTTGATCATCCAATTTCAAGAAATACCCTTCCTGGTACAATTTGTTGCTGTGACTATTCAAGAATGTGAAGATTGGTTGTAGTTCCGGCAAGGTATCTTGCTTCACATCCATCAGTGGAGGCTGAAAGGTTTGTGCCATAGACGTTGGTCTAGAAGATGCTCGTTCCCTCGTTCGAGTCGGCTGAGGAGATGCGCGAACTTCGCTCAAAGGCGCTTCCTGGTGAGAGGGCATTTGGAAGCTCGAAGTTGGAAATGGCTCTCTTCCCGAGGACGACTTTCCTGTATCTTGGGACCCTTGCTGTGTGTAGGATTCGGTTCGACTTCGTGCTCGGCCTGTAGATGGAGGTGGTCGAGTAGGGCTATTAGAGTCTCTGTCCCTAAACTGGGACATGAACGACATAACTAAGGGAAGGAGCTATTTAGCAATGGTTGACTTGTAAATATGGTGGCGCATTCCAACGTACCTCGATTTCGGCCCATTTTGAATGAATTAATTTGCTTTGAATAATAGTAAGTTGGGAAATCTATCAATGAAGCGGTGATTCCGCGAGCTCCGGATGAACCTTCGAATTGATATGGTGGACTTATGACATGTACAATCTAAGAAGTGTTCTGTGTTTTGTTCTTTCTTTGTCGGACCGTTGATTATATAACAGCACAATGATTCCCAATTTTATAAGCCGGCGGCAAAGGAAGCTCGAAAGGCTGCAAACAGAAGATGAATTGAAGCAAAATGCAAATGCAAAAGAATGTAAAGATTGAATTGGGAGTATTGTGATTAATGTTGAGGAATGATGAATATTTGGGGAAAGCAGGTGAATAATGTACTGGTATGCGTACTAATTCATGTACCTGCTTAGCATCTTGTTAATTTTTGGGGGGATTGGCGGGATCTGGGGGACGTCACTTTTGTGAGACCAGGGAATGATGAGAGGGAGGATAAGAGGCGGGAGAGGTCCGACTACCGATGCTCAAAATAGAAAGAAAGAAAGAGAGAGAGAGAGAAGAGCCAAAAATATACGAGAGGAAATTGCGTGAGAAGTCTAAGATGTAGTTTAAATGTGTAGATAGAGCTAGAGGAAGAAAATCGAAAATGAAATGGGATATATATTCAAGAAGAACGAAGAACGAAGGTCGAAGGTCGAGAAAGGGTTGAAAAGATGAAGAGGTTGGTTAGTAGGAGGAAGTAGAAGAAGTGGAAGTGGTCAAGAGAGCACCAGATTGAATAGCTACTAGGTACCTAGGTCGGTAATCTTGGAAAACAATAGACAATATTCAGAATCTGGGGCCAAATGATCATAAAGGGGAGTTTATTTGGGAGTGGAGGGTTCAAATTGATTTCACGGCGTAATTCGTTTGCATCACATGAAATGATTCAATTACGAGGTCTCATATCTCATCAAATGGGCGGAAGGACCGGACGAAAAAGGGACATGTGTAGGAAGGTGGTGAAGATAGACAGACATAGTCAGGTAGGTATATACATTACATACATTAAGAAAGAAGGGCATCGTAGCTATCGAGCATCTATCACATCAACAACACATACAAACTATCCTCATCTGGTAGCGGCGAGCATGTATCATTGACTCTTTGTCTGTCGATTGTTAAACAGAGTCAAGATGTGGCTCCCAGACTTGGATCAAGATTTGGAACTGTTGACAAATTCCAAGCATGTGTATGCATCTAGGTACGAGGTACGTACTATCTCCTGCATTGGAATTTCCCTTATTATACACACATTCATTGTACATCTCTAGTACATCTCTAGCACAGGACGATGTATTTGTGCTCTATCCATGCTCTATCCATGCCCCTCTTATTCCCCAAAGCATCCTACCATTCACCGGTCTTGGCTAACTGCTAACTACTAATACTCACCTGGCACTACGAACTTGGAATCCTCAACACATGGACGCATCATTTTTCTCTTGCCCAAATAGCGTGCGTACTCGTACACTCGCTCACTTTGGTAATGCTTTGGTAATGCTCATTGGGCCTTTCCATCTCAACACGCGCTGGGAAAAGAGTGAAAGTGTCAAGTGCTGATCTGATCGCCTGTACCTGCAAATCCTTAACTTTTCACCCGCCGTGTCTGCGTGCTTTCTTACTCCAAGACCCTCAAGACGAGGAGCAATAATACGAGATCGTAACGCCGAGCATACCTTAATTGGTTGATATTGAACCATCACAATCTACCTAGCAGCCAAAGGGGGCCCAGGTACCTCTGCAAGCGGCTCTCTCAGCTCGTTTATCGGGTATCGGATCCATCAATTAATTGGCAATGAGTGGCTGTGTGAGAGAGAGAGAAAGAGAGATTCTGAGAGATTTTTCTACTTAAACACCGACTCCGTAATAACTTTCAATATCTCCAACATCTGCAATCTCCCATCTCCCATCTCCATCTCCCATCTCCAATGTCAAATCTCCAATCTCCAATCTCCAATCTCTTTCCATATCTCTCAATGTCTCCAGTCTTTCTGAAACGTTATGATTACCAAACTGTTTGAAATCTGGCCCAAGCTCTTACCTACATACATACAAACTCTCTCTCTTGAGTCTCTTCCCTCCATAGACACCAATCAATTTGTCCGAGAAAGTCCTTCGCGCGGAAAGTTGCAGTACCACCGTGATACGAAGAATTAATCCCTTTTGGTCCCGAAGAATATAAAACATGCCTGCGGTGATCATCCTTTTAGGCTTGACAACGCAAATCACAAGAGAAGCACCTTCACATTCAGCCGAATTCTCCGGATCATGCAAGATTATGTTCAAAGGACAGCACAGCCGGTCCAGACACTCACTAATCGATGCAGGCCAAGTCAAGCAAAGGCAACGCAGATATCAATTCGTCGCTTCATTCATTGTCATGGTCATGTAGAAAGTAAGCACGTGGTAGATTTGCATCGATGTATCACCACCATATGATGAGCAGTGAATGGTGAACATGTCAATTTCTTTACGAAATCAATTGGTCCATGGATTCAGATTGTTTTCCGTCTTTCACCCACTCTTGATTCAAATTCCTCCCTAGTAGACTTGGTGATCCTTGCATGCTCCACACAAATTGTCATTATCCACAGCCATATTCAGCCTTAAGAAATCTATATTTATGGCACGCATCACGTGTCTAATACGTACCTGATTCGTTATCGCGGTTGGTCCATTGAACAATGAAGGTTCTTATCGTCTAGAGTGCAATTTTTGTGAAGGAGTTTCTCGGTTTGTATCCCGACAACTTCCATCAACTCGACCACGAGGTAATTCTTCACCTCTGTGCATCAATCACGACGCTGGGATGAGGAGGTCGATTGGTCGAACACACGTTGCGCAAGCTATACATAATCAATCCCGTCGTACTCTCATTCACAGTTCTCCGAGATGGCGCCCTGAATTGGCATTTTCCACATCTGCAGATGTCGATATACCACCATTTCGAAAAGAATCCCTTCCATTTAAATTCGAAACTGGACTTGCCTTATTTGCCAAGAGAAAGCCTCGACCTTTTCCTCCTCCATTTCTATCTCCTCCATCAGGTTCCTTTTCCGATCCGTTAAGTACTCATCATCGGAGTCGCGATAGAAGACCTTCGGTGAACGGCGAGGTGATCAGAGGATATACAAATGGCGATGATGCGGTTTACTCCAGTGACTACTTTATTGGCGCAAACGATGGTGTCGGCGCCTGGTCTACAAGAGAAGGTGGCCATGCAGGGTTGGTGGCTTTCTGAAATCACAATTTACCTTGGAGTGCTAACGTATTGTCAGTTTATGGTCAAGGCTAATATTACACTTCTGGGCTGCGGAAGTAGAGAACGACGCAAGAAGATCTCGACCTGCAGGAAAGTACTTCGAGCCGAATCCTATTGATTATCTACAAAAGGCATATGAGCAAACTATTCAAGCGACTGCGAGTCCGAATAAATGGCAAGGCACAACTACGGCTACCGGGGCACAATTGCATTATAAATTGGATGATACCGATCCTACTGCGCCCGCGACTCCTCTTCTATACGTTACCAACATTGGCGACTCACAAGTACTAGTCATAAGACCGAAACAGGAGGAACGTGTTTTCAAAACTACAGAACAATGGCATTGGTTTGACTGTCCTCGACAACTCGGTACAAATAGCCCCGACACGCCTGTTAATAATGCTGTTATGGAGAAGGTTGAAATTGAGGAAGATGACGTCGTTCTTGCCATGTCTGATGGCGTAATTGACAATCTATGGGAGCATGAAATAATTGAAAGTGTTGTAAGCAGTATTCGTAAGTGGGAGCGAGGTGAGGGAGGTATAGGTACTGGAGATCGACGAGGTGGTGCTGGAGGTGGTATGAAATTTGTAGCCGATGAGCTCATGAAAGCTGCAAAAGTGATCGCGCAAGATCCTTTCGCAGAGAGTCCCTTCATGGAGCATGCTGTCGAGGAAGGTCTTGCTATGGAAGGAGGTGAGTAAAAAGAGGCTGAAGGGTATACCATTTACTAATTGATTGTTAGGTAAACTAGACGACATAAGTGTAGTTGCAGCTCTATGTAAACGCAGTAACGGATGAAGTGAAGTAGTTGTATAGGTTGAATTATCTGGGGCATATAAGATATGACCTCGGGATTGAAGTCATCAGAAGCTGTTCTTGCAATAGCAACTCGCGCCAAGAGGCATATAGAGACAGTTGTTTAGGGGGAAGAAGAACACCAAACAGAATATTCTCGATTTGCAAGGGATGGAAATCGTGACAAGAGATAGGCAGAGTGAGGAGGTTCGCGGGTGGGAGAAATACACGGCGTACGAACCATCTATGTAATAGGTATTCTTTTTTAGGCAGTATAAAGACTTTTGTACATTCATATAATATTAAGTAGAGACTTTGAAGTACTCCTAGATATCCTTTGGTTCTAGACTTGTTGGCTTAGCATGGCTAGCAACAAATACTAGGAAGCCATTGGGTCATTGGGAAAACCCACCCTAGTTCCCGATAAGTCCTTATCGTTAAATTTATCCGATAAAAAAATTATCAATCTTCATCATCACATCTCTTACCATTTACCAAACTCAATCAATTGACCCTCAAACTATTTTGACGAATTCAAAAACATGAGAGGAAAAAGAGCGAAGCAATATAAAAAGCTCATGCAGCAATATGGCATGAGCTTTGGTTTCCGTGAAGCATATCAAGTACTTCGTGAGCTCCCCAACGTTGCGCATCAGTACTATTGCTCGTTTTCAATGACTGACTTTCTCTCTCAACAGTTGACGCAGAGATTATTAAGGATGCTGATAGATTCAAGATGGACTTGGTCGGTGGTTTAGAGCGAACACTTCATGGTCAAGTTAAGCCTAGTATGTTCATACATTTTCATCTCCTGTCGCATTAATTACTGACGTACATTAGTGATTACACAATGCTCAATGCGCCATTTATATGCTGCTTCATCAGAACCAGGAGTTTCCTATCTCATCGACAAAGCAAAAACCTACGAGCGACGCCGTTGTGGTCATCTCCCAGAAGATTATCCCGAACCTCTCTCTGCCCGTGATTGTATCAAAGCAGTCGTTGACGGCAAAAACAATGGAACCAATAAACACAGATATGTGGTAGCAAGTCAAGATATAGAAGTGAGAAAGGCGATGAGGGCAATTCAGGGCGTACCTTTGGTTTACATCAACAGGAGTGTTATGATTATGGAACCTATGGCAGAAACATCTACAGAGACGAGAGATAGAGAAGAAAGGTCGAAATTTAGACAAGGCATTAAGTCAGGAAGAGCTTCAGGAAGTCTCAAGAGGAAGAGAAATGAAGGCGATGAGGACGATGACGAAGAATCAGCAAAGAAAGATATGGGTGTATCGGAAGGTGTTGCGAAAAAGAAGAAGAATGCACCAGGACCAAAAGGACCCAATCCATTAGCAATGAAGAAGAAAAAGAAGGTCGAGGGAGAGAGTACGAAGCCTAATGCGTCAACCAAAGTGGCTGATGCAAATGATACGGGAGCGGATGGTTCAGAACCTGTCAAACGCAAACGAAAACGTCTACACTCGAAGAAAAAGGCAGAGGATGGAGCTGATGGGGAAACGACCATTTCAAGTGAGAAAATGGATGAAACAGCTTAATATATACAGGAATATCGAGCAGAGTGTTACATATAAATTAATTACAATTTTAGAATGATACCCAAAGAATCGGAATTGAGCTGCATGATTATGGTTGTTGAAATTACAGTACTAAAGAAATCGGGGAGCACGATATTACGATTCCAATTCGTCATATAGGTAGGTCGCATTTGACCGACCCCCTAGATAACAGAACAAAGAAGATGGACCCCAAACTACATATCAAGTAAAGGTCGAATCTATTTAAAGTATAGCAACATAATGATTCCTCAAAAGTTACAAGTCCTCAAAAGCATTTAAACCTTCATTGCCCATAAGCAATAAGCAATAAAACATCTGAATCATTACTATACCCTTACCCGTTAGAAAGCACGTTCCAATCGTTTACTGGTTCACTCACTGAGGAAGTGCATCGGTCATTCCCAAATCCCCAAATCCTAGTCAACTAGACGGTGTCTGTGTGTACGGTGTGTACGAAATCCATACAAAGCACAGAGCATCGACCTCGGAACACTTTTGTGCTTCAGAATCCATGGATCCGCGCAAGAACACATTTAATGATTGAACAACGAATGTCTAAGTGACGTTAGATGATTTATCTGTTAGAGACGCCACCTGCCCTGTGAGTCAAGGTGGTGGTCGAAGTGCTAGGAACAATATGCCACAGAGTGATGAGACCACCACAAATGCTAAGGAAAATGGCATTGTGGGACCGGGTACAGCTGTTCAAAATGGACCTGCAGAACTGGATGACTTCGGATTACCCCTCAAGAAGAGAGTTGTTCCGGAACCGGTAGCATATGATGAAGATTTGGAGAATGTCGAATCGGAGGATAAGCCGAGTGTCCCAGAAGATCGGAATGCTGCGACTAAAGAGAATGGGTTGAAGAATGCGGATGTTGCTAAGGGAGACGCAGAAAAGGCAGACGATGTAAAGGATAATGGGTCAGATAAGGAAGAAGAGGAACTCAAGGTTGTGCAAATAACGCCATCACCTGCGACCACGAATCCGGAACCTCAAAAACCTCGCGAGACAACTCGGAATGAGGACTTGCCAGCTCATGGACATCCGGCACCTCGACAAACAATCGAAGATATCGAATCCACAAGTAAAGAAGCTCTGGCGGAATCGTCGGAACCTGCGAAGCCTGCAAAAGAGCCAAAATCTGCAGAAAGTTTGGAGAATACTAGTGGCAACAAGAACAGCAATGCGGTTCCCGCGGTGAATAACAGGAATAGTCGGATGGAACCAAGTCAGGGAACCAGTCAGGGAATATCAGAATGGTCGCATCAACATACCACTGTACCTGATCCAAAAAGCCCACCTCAAGAAGATGATGAATGGCAAACAATGCCAGCGTATGCTCCGTACGATATTTACGATGATGATAATAGGTTAATTGCAAAGGAGGCACACGAATCTGATGAAGAACCGGATGCATACGCAGGGTTGGGTGGTGCCGGCAGAGGATATACCAGAGTTCAACTAGACGAAGATGCTCAATCTGCGACGAGTTTGGATGAAAACACACAATACCTTTTCAAAGATGTTCATGGCACTGGAGCTGGAGAAGTGGAAGATGAGGAGCAGCGAGATGCAGTTTCTCAAATGCAAGCTACTAAGGATCTTTTAACGGAAGGGCAAAGAATTGCATATGTTGGCATGACTCGACTTATCCTTTCTAAAATGCTTGAACAACAAGAATCATTGGTGTCAGCAAAGAAAGGAAACAAGAAAGAATTGCAAGTTTCAGCCGAAGCTATGAAAATGTGGACTCAAAAAATGATGGTTCGGCTATATGCGCATATGGAAATCAGTACAGATGAACAGATCATGATTGAGCAATTGGCTGAACATGGAGTAGTCCCTTCAGATCTGACAGAGACTCTCATGCAAAATGCACGAGTAAAGAATCCTATGGCCGAGAAAGCTCATTCAAGTAAAGACTCGGTTGCTTCAGGTAGAAGTCCTAGGGAATCCATCTCATCTCCGCGATTACCACGAGGATCCATACAGTCTCCACGCTTACCACAATCACCTTTGAGTCCACAAACTCCTCGACGATATAATGAGGAAGAACCGGCTGCTGTACCTCCACCATACCAAGAGCATGATGGCGAAGATTTACCCGAAGTTCGAACTCCTTCACAACTTCCCACTACTAAGAACATTGATATCGATCTTCGCTGGACTGTTCTTTGTGACCTTTTCTTGACTTTGATTGCGGACTCTGTTTATGATGCACGATCTAGAACTTTATTAGAAAAGGTTGGTGATAATATGGAAGTTTCCTGGTTAGAAATCTGTCGTTTTGAGAAACGAGTAACAGATGCCTTGGAAATGCAACAAGCAGCCGAAAGGGAGAACTGGAATGAGGACGATCATAAAGAGAACAGGAGGAAAATGGCTCTCAAGAAAAGATATTTGATGATGGGTCTTGCTACCGTTGGTGGAAGTTTAGTTATTGGACTTTCGGCAGGTCTCTTGGCACCTGTTATCGGAGCAGGTCTCGCGGCTGGTTTCACTACAATCGGTGTAGCAGGTACTAGTGGCTTCCTTGCTGGTTCTGCAGGTGCTGCTATCATCACAACGGGTGCTGCCACTTCAGGTGGTTTTATTGCGATCAAAGCTGCAAATCGTAGAACTGGGGCAGTCAAAACCTTTGAGTATAGGCCATTGCATAATAATAAGCGAGTCAACTTGATCATTACAGTCTCGGGATGGATGACGGGTAAAGTTGATGATGTTCGCTTGCCATATAGTACAGTCGATCCGATCATGGGAGATATATACTCGGTTCTTTGGGAGCCGGAAATGCTTACAAGTATGGGAGATACCATTAATATTCTAGCAACAGAGGTAAGGTTTGAATTTATCAGCACACACTGTATATATACTAACGCATTTTAGGCTTTGACTCAAGGTCTTCAACAAGTTCTCGGAAGTACCATCCTCATTGGTTTGATGGCTGCTTTACAATTACCAGTCGTTTTAACTAAACTTTCATATCTCATCGATAACCCATGGACGGTTTCCCTTGACCGTGCAAATGCTGCAGGTCTTATTCTTGCAGACTCGCTTATTGATCGAAACCTTGGTACCAGACCAATCACCTTCGTGGGATATTCCCTTGGTTCTCGAGTCATCTTCTCATGTCTCAAAGAACTCGCCAAGAAAGGCGCTTATGGATTGGTTCAAAATGTTTACCTATTTGGTTCACCTAATGTGGTGAATCAGGATGACTATTTAAAAGCGAGATCTGTTGTGGCTGGTAGATTCGTCAATGGATATGCAAGGAATGATTGGATTCTAGGATATCTTTTCCGTCTTACTAGTGGTGGTATTAGACGTGTAGCAGGTCTTGCACCGGTCGAGAATGTTCCTGGAATAGAAAATGTGGATGTTACTGATCTAGTACCGGGACATATGGCATATCGTACTGCCATGCCCAAGCTTCTTCGAGAGGTGGGATGGGAGGTTGAGAGCGACGAATTTACTGAAATCGAAGATCCGGACCCGGAAAATCATGCAGAGAGGCAGAGAGAACTTATTAATGAGATCGAGGAAGCCCGAAAAGAATTCGAGAAGAAAGAGAAAGAAGGAAAGGGAAGATTTAGTTTCTTCGGCCGTAAAAAGAAATCAGCCGTCGAACGTAAAGAATGGGAGACATATGTAGAAAGTTCAAAGAACGAGCAGAGTCGTGATTCAAGCCGATCTGGAACAGAGGATGGCCAAGGGAATAACCATGGTATTCTTTTCGACATCGATGCTATTCGTGCCGAAGTCGCTAGTGGAGTTGCTGCTGATGGTGGTAGTAACAAGCATATGGAGGTTAAAGAACTTAAATCCACACTTCCACCTATGAAACTTAGCCTCGCCTCTTCATCTAATAGTCCACAATCCAGTCCACGCAATTCTCTTCGACCAACAAAAAGCGATGATGCGAGTACAACATTACATGCTTACGATTATCGTTCGCCAGGTCATTCTCCTCGTCCTTCGAATGGATTTGGTGCTGGCTCAACATATTCATACTCGAATTCAAATTCTCGACAAGATCTCGCGAGAAATTCACCATATCTGGCTCAGGAACCTGAGGAAGAACTTGAGATGACTTTTGATACTGCGTATCATTCTCCTCCTCATTCGGCTAATGTTAGTAGTACGAGGTTACCTGAGAGAGGACATACAAGTTTCCATTCTTTAGGTCATGTGGCCGATGGTAATGGTGGATTTGGAGGTGGCTTCGATGGGACTGGATCGAGTAGTGCAAGACCAGAATTGAAATCGGCTTCTACATTACCTGTGGGCATGGGAACAGGAGTGGGAGTCGGATTGGGATTGGGAGTGACGGGGATGGGGATGGGATTGGGATACGTGGCGGAAAAAAATGCGTGGGCGGATGATGATGAGGATGAATTTGCGGGGGGTGGGGGAGAGGAGGAAATTGAGATGACTTTTGCATGATTGGATTTGAGCTTGCCTTTCCGCTTTTGGGGTGCAGGGTGCGTGCATTGCATTGTATGGATGGATGGATTGATGGATGGGTTATTTTATGCGTATGGATGGGATGGGATGGTTGGGTTGGTCGGTTGGTTGTAGCGTGAATCGGATCAGAATAGGGGGGTGAAAAGGTTTAAGAGAGAAAGAAGAAAGAAGAAAGAGAGAAAGAGAGAAAGAGATAGACTTAATGTGCATATACATATGGATATATGGGTTAGCGCGGAATGAATAAATGCATGTATGTATGTATTGATATGGGTTGATAGTATGAAGTATTCGAGTATTTGTGTATTTGTGTATTTGTATATTCGAGTATTTGTATATTCGAGTATTTGTATATTCGAGTATTTGTATATTCGACTAAACAATTGAGATAGATGTTTATGGTTTATGGTTTATAGGTATTAATTGATAGTTAATAATTGAGTGGGTAGATAGATGAATGAGTAAGTAGATGGTGATTGTGATGGTGATGGTGATTGTAGTTGTGGTTTAGTAGGAGTAATAATAGGAATAATAGGAATAATAGGAATAATAGGAATAATAGGAATAATAGGAATAATAGGAATAATAGGAATAATAGGAATAATAGGAATAATAGGAATAATAGGAATAATAGGAATAATAGGAATAATAGGAATAATAGGAATAATAGGAATAATAGGAGTAGGAGTAGGAGTAGGAGTAATAGAAGGAATAGAAGGAGTAGTAGAAATAGAAATAGAAATAGAAATAGAAATAGAAATAGAAATAGAAATAGAAATAGAAATAGAAATAGAAATAGAAATAGAAATAGAAATAGAAATAGAAATAGAAATAGAAATAGAAATAGAAATAGAAATAGAAATAGAAATAGAAATAGAAATAGGAAATGTAGATATAGAAGATATAGAAGATATAGAAGATATAGAAGATATAGAAGATATAGAAGATATAGAAGATATAGAAGATATAGAAGATATAGAAGATATAGAAGATATAGAAGATATAGACGATATAGAAGATATAGAAGATATGAGGGGTAGATATGAATATTTTAATTTATTTATTATTGTTATATGTTTTTTTTTTATGATTTATATGTTATTGATATATTATTGATATGATTTTTATATGATCTATTATATGTCAGCAATTATATAGTCAGCAATTATATGATTTAAACTACGCTAAGCTAAGCTACTCTGGTATAGTATAGTATGAATAGGATAGAAAATAGAAATAATTTTTTATATTATGTTTTTTTAATAGTTATATTTATTAGTAGTTATGCTTATTAGTAAGTTATGTCTAGTTTTTTTTGATGTTTTTTTTGATGTTTTTTTTGATGTTTTTTTGATGTTTTTTTTGATGTTTTTTTTGATGTTTTTTTTGATGTTTTTTTTGATGTTTTTTTTGATGTTTTTTTTGATGTTTTTTTTTATATGTTTTTTTTCATATCTTGATTTGATATCTTGATTTGATATCTTGATTGATATCTTGATTTTGATATCTTGATTTCGTTAATAGGATGTATTTAAGATTAGAGGTTATAGATATAGAGGATGTTATATATATATATATAGTATACGAGAGAGTTGTAAGAGTCTTATAAGAGGGAGTATATGAGATTATTAATTAGAGATTATTGAATTGGTATTAATGAATGAGTATAGTTGACTAGTATTAATGAATTAGTGTTAATGAATTTAGTGTAATGAATCGGTTGTTAATTGAATCGGTCTTGGTTGCATTGTATAGTAACTTAGTATTGGTATTAGTGAATAGTGTTAAGTGATTGGTGTTAATAAATCGGTCTCTTGGTGATTGGTATTAGTAAATTGTATTAGTAACTTAGTATCAGTAACTAGTCTTCGTGAATCGTAGTAGTGAATAGTGTCGTGCATTAGTGTACTGAATCGGTTGTAATGAATCGGTCTTGGTGAATTGGTGTCAACAATTTATGGATAGAGAGTGGCGGTTGGAGTTTAGCTCGAAGTTTCGCTTGGTTGGTTTTGTGGGATGGAAAGGGGGTGAGGGAGAGAGAGAGGGGTTGAGGGGTTGATTGTGATTACTTACTCACTTGCTTATTTGATATATGATTGCTATTTGCCTATATCTTTTCTTAAGTATATTCTTGGGTATGTCTGTTTTTATATTTGATCTCGAATCTATTCTTCCGTTCGTCTTTGTGTCTTTTCTGGGAGATTCACATATAGTCCATGACGTATGAACGATCGATGCGCATAGTGAGTTATGATGATTGATGGGTACATAGGGAGGAAAGGAATTATATTAGAGTTGTATTATCGGGGTGAAGAATATGAATTTGGGATTGAAGATTGTAAATTCGGGATTGGATATCAGGCTTTAGCATGGGAAGAGATGAGATAGTGATGGAAATGGGAATGAAATGAAATGAGAAACACACCCCGAGTACCGATATTTACATCTCCCTGATAGAATATGAATATGCGGAAAGCAAGAAACCTTGATGGTTATTTGCGCTGAGTGTATATCTAAGGGAGGGTTAGAAAGGGGGGAAAGGGGGTGTTATTGCTAAGCGACTGGAGCTGATCAAATGGGGTTGTGGTTTAGAGAGGAATTCGATCAAGGATATTGAGCTGGAGTTTGATTGGGAGTGCTGGGAGAGATATTTGGGGGGTTTTGATTGTAATTGTGGTTGACTTTCGTGGTGGGTGTTTGGATTTGGAGATAGATGGATGGGTTGATCAGTTGTTGACTTGAGGGTGGTTGGATGTTTGAAAGTAGTTAGATATCTCAGAGCATTTGTTGAAGGTCTGAGCCTACTTCAATATCAAGAAGCGAGGAACAATAATCATGTCTGCGGTGACAGACACAAAATCAGAGAAGCTTGGGCAATCATTGCTTAGGAGTACTTGAGCTGTGATTTTAACAGTGTTGCGACTATATTTGGTGTCAAGAGAACGTCATATGTTAATGCAAGGATCGTTGGTTTTCCTCTAGTACTTGATGTGGAGAGAAGGGTATTATTTTTGCTGGGCAAGTTTGTTTCCGACACCATTGCTCAAGTGTCTACATTAAGTGATGAACAGAAACGTTCCAACTCCGGCTGAGAGAGGGGACTTGGGATATCGTAGGCAAGATTTCGGCAGGTAAAGCTGCTGCGATCATAGATCAAAGAATAACAGTAAGAGTATAGGATAGTCGGTTTACCCTGGGCCGATGAGATAAATGGTTTCGATTCCATTAGCAAAGTCCCCAATATCATAGTAGATAAAGCAGCTTAATTGTTGGTCTGACAGAGGATGCTTCGACGCAAATGGATCAAGATCGCTCTGTGAGTCTGATACGAATTATTGACGATATCAGATGAGTCTTGAGTGTTCAAAATACACAAGTCGTTGGAGCTTTTGAGGTGTATGAACATCGAATACTAAAGAGACATGCAATTGACAAGCTGAAATCCGCAAGTAATACAGTGGCTTTATCGTATCAGGGTAAAAGTTTGGGATAACAAATTTTAAATCTTTGTTGTATGTTCGAGTGGCAAGAGGAGAGGTGATGTTGAGGCAACTCAAATTTATACAGATTGTTTAGCAATCCGATTTAATATGCATTTGTTCTGCACCTTCTATTTGACGTTGGAACTTTATCCCAAGTACATTCTTAAGTTTGAATTAGTACCCACCTAGTGTTTGGAATAATCTCCTCTCTATCTCAGAAATATCCAATACCATTCTGGAGTTTGAGAATGATGCGATATCTCTTGATCTTTGTTTCTTCAAACTGACTGCGGGTCCGTAGTTTCATTAAACATTCATTGCTGGACTTATTCTCGGTATAAGGTGGGCACCATTTTTTTCTTCAAAACCTTATTGGAAAAGAGAATATCATTACACCGCACACAAAGAAACACCTCTAATCTTTTATACTTTCTCTTTGACAGGAACACCAAACGTCACCATGCCAAACACAGATCATTACGTTCTCAAACGCAGTGGTTGGCTCTTACTACTCTTCTTCACTCATTTCTCAGCATCTTGTCTCCGCGCCGGCCTCGAAAACACCTTTCTCGTCGCCGATTTCGAGAATTATCCTCCCTCATCTAAGATGCGCGATCATGAGCTCTATTGTTATTATTGTCGAAGGCAGAGTCAGAAATGGGAAGAACGAGCGAAGACCGAAGGAATCAAGACACCTTTTGGGTCTGTTCTATTCAAAGATGAAGATGAGGATGACAAGATGGCGGCTGCTGTTGTCAATGGGGCTGTGGGGAGTTTTTTTTGCAATAGGGTGCGCGGGTCTGTGGAAGACGAGGGGGGTTTGGGGGTGGTGGGTGGTTCCAACGGGGCTGGGGCTTTGGGCGGCTTTTTCTGCAGACTTGGATTGGGTGGCGGAGAAGGTCGTGGATAAGGTCCTGGATAAATTGGAAGAGTTGGGGATACTTGATGATGATGAGGAGGAGGAGGAGGAGGAGGATGATTGGGAGGATGAGAATGATTGGGAGGATGAGGATGACGATATCATAGCTCTCTTATGGAGAAATGACTGAAGTATTGAAGTATCGAGATAGGGTTATGGGATTGATATAAGGAAGCAGAGGCTAATCTCCAGCGGCATGGTCTTTTAGAAACATGGTTCTAAAGCAGCGATGTTCAGCGATGAATACTATAATTGAACCCATTATTGGATGTAGAACTTTCTGCATCCAAGCCTGGTGACTGTTCCACCAATGATATGCTACATATTAACATGTCTTTCCCAGAAAAAAACACAACAACTTTAACAGCAGGGCTCATATATTAACCTCTCAACCACTACAGGTTCCGAGCCTAGTGTATATGCTGCGCTCCACTCCCCGAAACTGTATGATTGGAACAACTCTAATGACATCTCCCATCACATCCATCAGCATCATCTACGTCCTCCAGTGCATTGCCTCTTCTCTTTAGCTCTCCTGACCCCATTCCTCCCCAACAACTAATATGCATCACATATAACACCTGATCCTTCCTAGCTATCACACGAAAGCGGTCCGGTCGATGGCGTTGACGACATCGCTAAGTCTACTAGATGGACTGACGGGAGACTTCTCAACTTTTAAATTTTAACAAATTTGTTTCCCAGTTGTTTGATACCAGGATCTATCATTCTATTGTTCAATCTGTAATGAATCATTACAACAATTCAGATATCCGAACTGATATTTCATGGGATATTGCCAAGTCGATTTTTGCAGTGTCGAGTCGGTCCGTACACCACCCACTGGTGGCCGTCTATCCTCGTCGAATGCTCTGCAAATCATGCACGACTGTTATTGAGGGGGTCTATATGCTTGCTGTTGTTGCTTCGGCTCACCAATCGAAGCGGTTTATTGAATGTCTGGGAATCAACGCCTGGATTATCATAAAATGCTCGCGGTTCATTGTCTGATACTAGCACGGCTTATAACATCATAGATGTCCAAGATCTGACAACAGATTTTCTAGTCCTTCATCACATTGATTGTTGATATCAATTATTGTTGAAAGGTTAAGAACGCCTAAGACAATGAGAATCATATGAGCATCAAACTCTCGCCTGTTATTAAGAGATGAGCTCAACTCTTCCTACTTTTGAAAGATGTAGATCATTGACATAACAATTTGAAAAGGTGGTTGAGCCATTTAAACAATAAGATAATAATAATTTTACTGGTATAGAATGTGGCTGATTGTTCGAAATCATTCAGTGAAACCATGGCCCACGTTTTCGGCACATAATCTCATTTAAATTCGATACTCAAATTCCACTTAGAAACGAAGGTCTGCGAAGCGTAATAGGGAATTTCTGTCTGCAATAATGAGAAAATACATAGTGAATTTATTTCAGTAGCCCATTTTAGAGGACAAAGAGGATGCGACATAAAAAACACGAAATGACGTTCAACCTCATGCATCTCGAGCCGAACCGAGTCGGCACTGATCATATGCTCCCCCACGAGCCCATAAAAGCCAACGAAAGCCTCTGCGACCTTTCCAACCATTTATCTTTCACCACACCCATTCAATTTAAGCACAGCTCATTCACTGAACTGACACAGCATTTCCACACTTCTATTAACTCACCTAAAATTCACCATTTATCACCCGCTTCAATCAGCTCGCAAATAGCAGCTGACCCTAAATATCACGATCACCACATCTCAAATTCCTCTTCAAAAACAACCTTCTGTCACTCGAAGTCAATATGCGCCACTTACAAGCCTTCCTCTCTTTCAAAATCCATCAAGACCAGAATTATTAGTCGGAGACTTTCTCTCCAGCTATACTCAAAATGCCAGATATATCACGCAATCGTATCGAAATTTGGCGCAGCGAAGTTGAGTCGCAAACATCATCGCAATCGGGTATAGCAGTGGACATGGGGTGGAATGCACCGGTCGTACGACCACAGAGCTTTTGGAGGCGGGTACTCGGATTGGGATATACCGGCAGCGGCAGCGGGAGCGGTTCTGGTCGTGGTAACGAAGTTGTAAATGGAAGTAGGAGTGGGAGCGGAAGCAGAAGTGGAAGCAGCAGGAGCGTGAGCATAGGCAGGAAGCTTGGATTGGTGAAAGGAGAGATCGAACGAACTGGGATGTATACCGTGAAGATCAGGGGAGATAAGGATGAGCTCGAAAGAGGAAGGGACTTGGAGGAGAGAGAGAGAATCGGAGAGAGGGGTGAAGAAAGTAGTATGGAGCTTGATGGTAGTGAGGCAAGTGTGAGGGGTGGGTTGAGGGAAAGAAAAAACAGGTTAGAAAGGGCAGCTAAGCTGTTAGGAAAGAATGAAGGAACGAGAGAGAATGGACAGAGAAGTTAGATTGTCTTGTGTATGGGTATCTTGATGAATGGCTGGGATTGTACAGACGAGTTGCGATAAGTTGTAATGGGCTGCGATGCAGTATTTGGCGGATTGGATAGCATCATTCATGACACAGGAGGATTAGGATTAGCATTGGATAGATTGATGGGTGGGGCTACCTATGTACTACAACCTCAAAAAAGGTCACACGGATGCTTCCAAGTACCTCATGAGTAAGCCAATATCATCAACTTTGACCAAAGCCCTGGCTGTAAATTGTTCGAATTCAGTTGGTGACTCAAAACGGGCATCGTGAAATCTTTTATGAGAGCTCTAGCACTAGCTATGAGAAATGGATACATAAATGTTCAGATGACAGTTTGATTGATAAAGATACCCAGGCAAGTATTTATATGCCTAGCTACTCAGGTAGTAAAACTTCACTCCTGTTTATTCAAAGTCTTCATGTTACCATAGTACGAAGCTCAAGAAAAGGTGGGAAATAAATGGAAGTGTTGTTTACATCACATGACCAGGTATTGATTTCTAACCCAGCGGCAAGAACCAACTCCGACACCTTTTCCATAATAATAATTTAGTCTTTTGGTTCTGCATCTTTGTTAAACCTCATTTACAGAAAACATGTCGAAAACAGTTGTTGTTCAGTCACCAGCGGAATTCAGCAATCTACTGAAGACCTCTAAGATTGTTGTGACAGATTGTAAGCTACCCCGCCGGTAACCCCTCCCATTACGACTTGCCCCTCCATCACTATTTACAATACTACTATGAACTGGTATGGACCTCACTAATGCTGTCATTTCTACAGTTTACGCGGATTGGTGCGGACCATGTAAGGCTATTGCGCCTATGTACGAGCAGCTTTCTGCGCAGCTATCACGTCCAAACAAGATTACATTCACAAAGGTCAATGTTGACAACCAGACCGAGATTGCATCCACCTATGGTATTACTGCGTATGTTCTCCCTGTATAGCACATTACTGAACAAGCGGATGAAGTCGATAGTCCGGGGTATTTATACGGAGCATCTGCTAACACAACTTCGACAGTATGCCAACATTCATGATCTTCAAGGGAGGCAAGCAAGTCGAGAAAGTGCAAGGTGCCGATCCAAAGAAGCTACAAGATATTGTAAGGAAGTTGGCTGCAGAGGCAGATGATTCAAGAGATTCTTCGTCTGGATTCGCAAGTGGATCTGGTTCTGGCGATTGGCGCGCAGGAGCTCTTCCAAGAGGCTACAACGATGTGACAGACCAGGTTGATATCAAAGGTCTAGAGTTGTTGAACGCCGACAGTGAATTCGGAACTGTGCGAACATTAGTTGATACAAGCAAACCCAGTGCCTTGTCAAATGGAAAGGCGGCAGATTCGAAGGCTAAGGACTGGGTTGTCAGTGATACGGATGAGCAGCTCATGTTGTTTATGCCGTTTCAATCTATGTTGAAAGTTCATAGTGTTCAGGTAAGAGGCATTTAACACATGCGCATAGATCTCAAGTATTGAGGCTAATCTCCCGTCCCACAGATCACATCTCTGCCTTCAGCATCTGATAACGAGGATGATGATGATGAAGAGCCAATGCGACCAAAAACTATCAAGATCTACACAAACCGAGCTCACACTGTTGGTTTTGACGAGGCTGAAGGTCTTCCTGAGACACAAACCATCACTCTGGAAGCCAAGGACTGGGATTCAACAGGCACTGCTACATTATCACTCCGCTTTGTGAAGTTCCAGAATGTTACTAGCTTGGTATTCTTCATTGTGGATGGTGATGGAGACAGTGAAAAGGTACGCATTGATCGGATTAGAATTATTGGGGAAACTGGTGAAAAGCGCGACCAAGGGAAGCTGGAGAAGATTGACCATGACCATTAAAGACGATGAAGCATGATTTGTTTACATTGATGAGCATGATGAGCGGTATAGTTATACGATGATAGGCATGGGATGGCGTTAACAGATGTGCCTTCTGGGGCGCTTTTGTGCATGGCATTTGAGTAGAATGATTTATGATTCAGCTTCATGAAGATATCCTTTTCCGCGAAACTTGCCTTCACATTGACGTTGATGACTTTTAAGTAATTGTAATAATTTGAATTGAAACACTAAACTACAACATATCTTCCAAAAAAAAACAAAAAAAAAACAAACCACAAACCGGATCCGTACTACCACGGTCGCAAAATTCTACATCGACTGGCGTGCGCGACCTGAAGCGCATTTTTGAATGCCACCCAGACAATTGCGAACTTCCAACAAGATTCCTGCAGTCCATCAAATCTGCTTCTAATCCAACAACCAATACGGTATTTAAATAAAGAATGTCCGAACTCTCTCCGTCCTCTCACCCACCAACCGTTATCCGTTGGGCCCTTTCAGACAAACCGACGAACACAGCCTGAATTCTCGACGAAAAGTTTCGAATTCGCGGAAAGAGGTTAAAGAGAAAGCAGCGGTTGCAATTGGGATCGATCTATGGTACCATTGACACTCGTTAACATCATGGCGAGCAGATGCGCGAAAAACACGAGGTACCAAGCCGCACTTAAAAAATAAGTTGAAGGGAAGAAGGTTTCCAGTTGTGCGAGGAAATTTTCTTATATCTCACAAATTTTGGCGGGTCCGAGCTAGTTGGAAGACTAGGCCGAATGAAGATTGGTGTGATTGTGCTGATATCTTCATGCCTTATATCTTAGTCAGATAGTTTATCCTCCGAAGTCCCGAATCTCGAAGGCTTAAAGTCCCGACGCCTTCACTACGTCGTACCTAGGTATTTTCACAGCCGACTTGCCACGCTATTCCTGACATTGTAGGCATCCATTTAACTAGGTACTACTAGTCTATCGTCCAAATGATATTCCATATGATGTTGAGTCTAGAATTCTAAAAGTCTAAAAGTCTAGACTTCGTCAATCAAAACTCTATTTCGAGAGGAACCACTATATTGGCATACAAATACACACATACACACACGCGCGCGCACACATATGCACAATATTGAACAAGTTTGATATCGAACAAGTTTAACATTATGATACTCAAGTTCCAATAGTATGAATCTATTCAGTCATACATCTGTCATTTATCTATTTTCCTTGAAGGTTGATTACTAGGTGGGTATCTATTCCTCATTAGTAGGGCCCGTTGATATTTCCAGATCTTATAGTATGTCACATGTGGACTAAGTTGGTCACTACAGTGTACTTCCAACATCTCGAGTCACTACTGTCAGTCTTACAAAGTTAATTTTCTATGCATCACACTCTACCAGACTGTGTATCTTTACTTGATTGTAAGAGCAATGCAACTATTTCACTTCTTCGGTCAGCCTGAGTATAATGGAAACCAACATTATGACTGAAAAGAAGCAGTCAATAGCTTCTTTATCATCATGGCCAGTGCGGATTTTCTATCCCGCCTGTCTCCTGTGAAGAAAAACGATGCTTGGACCACATCATCATCAGATCTTCTCCCCGAGCTCCAGGTGGACGATCAACAGTCAACTAACTACTTTGTATCTATCTTGGCTAGAACCGGCCATTCTTGAACCACTAACATATGATTTGCATTTGGCTGTACAGGCTTTCTCCATTAAAAAGTTTTCAAGCTTGTGGTTCGATGACCTACTTGCGCACGAAGGGTACAGTAGTCAACATGACAGAAGCCCGGCCTTCTTAATCATCGATCTTTACATTGGCGTAAGTGCCGTTTTGCTAATCTGGACCCTTTTTATGATAAATGATGTGCATGATGGGTGATCCTAGCCTAACCATAGACTACGGAAATCAGAGGATTTCACACCACTTTTACATTCCACTCTAAGCACCTCTGTAATTTAGTTCAAAGCGAATATTGTTTGAATCCAAAGCAATTTTCTGATTCCACCCTCCTCTGCAACCTTTAAATCTCGACGCTGATTGCGACCTGCATGAGCCGGCACCTGCACATACATATAGGCTGCAGTTTCCGTAGAGACCGGTTCCGGAAAGGGCAACCAGCTGGTCACCACTTTGGCTGGGCGTCTTAAGGCTTGAATACTTTCTGAGTGATTCTAGGCCATACCTTCCGCAATCAAAGTGCAAAACAACTGCATTTGATGCTCATTGCACCTGATTGACGACCATTCTCCCTCGAACCGATGAACAATCCACGTTTTATACCACTCAGATCTATGTGGCCAGACACCGTAGATCATCCCTATCACTATGCCCCTCATGCCGGTTCTTTACAGAGTAAGCCTGCCGGAATTCCTCCGTCTATGCGTTCGAAAGGAGGATGCTGGTATGCCTTTCTTCTATCCGGGTTTTGTACACCAACTAATTTAAGTGTAGGACATGTAGAGCTCGTAGTTCGTATTCTATCGCATCCCTCCAAGCTTTTTATACTGGTTACTATAGCTAATACTTTTCGTTCCATAGAGGTCAAGTGTGATGAAACAAAGCCCACATGCCAAGTCAGTAGCTATTCTACTGGGGATCATGCATTGTATCATATTACTGACATATCTCTAGCAATGCCAACGTCTATTTCATCTTTGGTACAGTCGCTTCTTCTCTTTGTGTGTAAATAAATGACTGACCAGCATAGTGACTGGGAACCAAGAACCAATTTCAAGTATGAAACAAACAAAATTGTAGCCCGTACGCCAGGGGTTTCTTTGGACAGTAGCTTGGTCTGGAATCGTATGTTTAGCGGAATCACTTTGTTCTTCAAAAGTCCTATTATTGACGTCTTCAGCATCCGCTTCCACTACGCCTCCGCAAAGCAATCAACCAAAGGAACATGACAAATTACCACCCTATAACGAATTGTCAAGCGACGAGCAACGTGAGAAGAAGGCTTCCTATTACCGACCGGGAATGTATACCTTAGCCGTTATACCGGAAAGTTTTGATGGGTTACTGGAGTACGAGACCAAAAGCTCACGCCCAAGAAGCTTTGGTACGAACAGACATCGATTCCAGTCAACCAGGCCAGACGTTGTTATCCTAGAAAGATTTGTAGGATATCCGGGTAGTCGTAGCCAGTCAGAAAAACCACTCTCCAGGAAAGCCAGCTTGGAAAAAGTTTTATCTCCCAGCGAGCTACCCATCACACTTGTGGATAGAGAGACAGACTCATATCTACTGGATCATTATCGGAATGTACTGGCGAATCAGATATGCTGGTTGGCTGAACAAGCTTCGGGGCCAGATATATTCGAAAGATACTCTGCAGATTACCCTCCTGTAAGTGAAACAAAGGCATCAAATCTAGACACTTACTTATAGAGAAGTTACATCTTGCAATCCTGGCTTTGTCTTCGCTAAGTCTATCTCGAACGAATCATATACCTTTTGAGGACGTTTTGTGAGTAAGCCTTGTCATCATCGTGAGAATGCACAAATAAAATTGGCAATCCTGGTACTTGACATCGAGAGCTAATATCAACGAAAGAAAACGATACCATATGGTCATTACCACGTTGGGCAGTTCACTTAAAACCCAAGAAGACGCCTATTCTGATGGGGCGCTGTTCACACACTATTTACTTTTACTATTTGAGGTAAGTCAGAGAAGCACTTCGCATTCGAGGTAGATTCATAATTGATATCTGTGGTCCTTTGACAAACGCACTTATTAATGAATGGTACAAAGGTTGCTGCGACCGGACATCGTGAATACAATATGTGGGAACAGCATTCCGATAGAATTCTACGTATTCTTCAGCTTCGGCAGAAAGCTTATGGTAAAGAACCACATGGATTCATCATTGTTGTAAGTGTAATCTTTGTTCTTAGATTCCCGATTCCAAGCCCCTGCCTTATGCTTCGCCCCCCCCCCCCCCTTTTTCAAGGCATCAAATACTCTTGATTGGAAAATTTGATATCAGCTTCTAAAGATGGAATCGGTACGACAAGCTATTCGAAGTTTTTGCTTGTACTCGAACATTATAAAACTTTGATTGTAGGGCTGCAGTGCGTACTATTGGAAATCTGCCCTTTTCTGCTTTTCAGAATAGCAGCTACTTGCCGTCTAATTACGTTTACCTTCATAAGAGACAATCACTAATACCGATATTATAGTTTACCTCATATATTGACATGTATGCTCTTCTCACCACTACTGGCACAGGGTCTTTCAGCAAAGCCATTCTCAAGCAAAACATGCTACCGCCTCCCGAAGACGCTCTGGAGAACCGATCGCTTAACATGATTTTTGTACCGGAAGCAATTCGCGAGATGCCCGATTTGCTGAGGATGAATCGAGAACTAACTCTGATTGCCCTTGAAATGGCACAGACGGGACGAAATATGAAATTTGAAGAAAAAGATGACTCAAAGCCAAGAATCGAAGTTAACATGAATCGATGCAGATCCATGCATGATTTGCACATACTTCTGATGGAATTCCATGACAATTGGTCTGGATTTGTAGAAAGCAAGACGCCGGAAGAGAGCTGGCTTCGCGAATTGGGACAACTTCCAAGCGGACCATTTACTTGTAGAACACATGTTAGTTTTCCCAAGTCAATACAGAAGGACACCCACTGACAGAGCTAGGCACAGTTATTTTATCGAGCTTGTAAAATCTACTATCACACAAGTATGTATCAAGGTCAATCTTTGATAATAGCAGCAGAAGTGGAAGAACAACTCTCTTCATGTGCCAGAGAGATAATTTTAATAGCCAAGACGATGATAGATCTAGGGCGTCTTGGAGCTAGATTCGTAGTATTCCCTATTTTTATGGCGGGTATAGCATCTCGAGTGAAGGAAGAGAAACAAAGTGCTCTAGAATTTCTTCGCAGGTTGGAGGAGACAAGCTTTGGTTCGAATACAACCACCACGAGAAAGTTACTCGCATCGATAATCGAAAAACAAGAAATTGCGATCGCTGAGACGGGAAACCCTTTGTGTGTTAGTTGGATTGAAGAATTGGAATCGAGTGGACAACAATTAATTTTGGTGGGCTTGTAAGATAGATCATCGACAGGGTATGGGGTTTGCGGTGTTGGTGGCTTATTGTAATGGGATGGCATGAGACGGCGTCAAAAACTGATTTGAACAATCAAATGGTCTTGGGTAATTCTGGTCGTTCTGGCCATTCTGGTTGTTCTGAACTATTACTTGTAGGGTTAGAACTAGATCAGATAGATTACACTCTATCGATGAGAATATGGTAACAATAGTAGTTACTAGTTATTAATACTGAAAACATCACATTATATCAAAATATCATGGATCTGTTGCACAAGTTGTTTTAGAATCTTTGTATCTGGCTTCTGCATCTGCGAGTGGGAGTAGAAATGCAGATAGATACAAAGGCATCCTCCCCCGTCTTTCAAAGCTTTGCTGATATAGTTATTCCAATTTATACGTATAGTCGCTTTTATAGTCTTATATTACTATTTTACTTCTAGAATGTGGTCTAAATGGTACATAGAGTACATTACCCTTATGCCATACAAAAGCTTTCCGTGTATAAGTCTTGATACAATAATTTTCTCGCAAGCTCTTAAACATTCCAGGTTATACAAATTAACCTCACATATCCCAATTGGGTAATGTTGTAGAAAAACTACATTCATAGTTTTAGCCTTGTTTTCATGAGGCTGCAACGACCCGGAGCGCAAACCTTTGTCTGTTGTGTGATTGGTTGATATTGCCCCGCCGCCTTATGTTATCAGGTTGCAGAGGGGTGACGATTTCGGATGGTATCGATATCCACATCTGGATGAAACAACATTTAACTCATTTGTACAAAAGAAGATCTAGGTTGAATCAGTTGAAGTCACCACCACCTACTCACTTGCGAAACTGAACCGTATAAACTGCACGCACCATTTCAAATCATTATCAAAAGCTTACAATTCACGAAACTCAACTCTTCTTCTCATTATCATACTTTCTAGCTCAAGCTTTCAACCGCGAAGGTTTCTAATTATTCCAGGTCCAACATCTTTCTCTCATTTCAAATTATCATACCTTCTTCATCGCACACACAAACACGAATCTAGTCAACCATTCTTCGACCGATCATTCATCATGGATGACCCCGTCGAAGCTTTTACGTCCATTACAGGACAATCGGAGGCTGTGGCAAGAGTGTACCTTGGAATGACCGACAACAATCATGAACAAGCAATAGGATTATTCTTCGAAGCTCCCGAACTTGCAAGCCAAAATGCTGCTTCTCAACAAGCGCCGCCACAAATACCTACTTCTACCAGACCACAAAGATCTACGAACCGCGCCCAGCAAAATGCAACTGGGGTAGTCGATTTGGATTCCGATGACGACATGGAAGTCGATGATGATAATAGCGATGGCGACTCTGAAACTGCAACAGCTGCCGCTATTGCACGTGCCGCGGAAGTTGAGGACGATGCAGCTATGGCGCGGAGAATGCAAGAAGAGCTTTACAGCGGTGGTGATGCAAGTGGCGGATTCGATGCAGAAGGCGTAAGAGCGCCTATCGCAAGAACAACGGAGACGCTTGTCGGTGGGCCAGGAGGATGGGATGGAGATGATGCCCTGCAAAGCGAAGTCTTGGAGCAAATGAGACTCCGGGCTCAAAGACAAACTAGGGCGGCTGCCGGTGGAGGCTCAGGTAAGGACAATGATATAATATTTTTAGTATTTTTCTTTACTAATATCGAAACAGCTCGAACAGGAATTCCGGGTGGACGAGTGGCTCCATCGATTTGGGACCAGGAAAACGAAGATACAGCACGAGCGGTCACAGGAGCAGAAGGAACTAGTAAGAGCGCCCGTCTTGCAGAGCTTTTTAGGCCACCATTCGACCTCATGTACAAATTGCCTTGGGACTCCGCTCGCGACGAGGGAAAAGAAAACGGAAAGTGGATCTTAGTCAATATTCAAGATAACTCTATCTTTGACTGCCAGTCATTGAATCGCGATATATGGAAGGACCCTGGAGTTAGAGATGTTGTGAAGGAGAATTTCATATTTATGCAGTATTCCAAGGACGATCCACGGGGCAGCCAATACATTCAATATTACTTTCCCCAGAAAGATAGCGAGGCTGCATATCCTCACATTGCGATCGTCGACCCAAGAACTGGAGAGCAAGTCAAGGTTTGGTCAGGGCCTCCAGTACCAAAGCCTGCAGAATTTCTCATGCAACTGGTTGAGTTCCTTGACCGATATAGTCTCGATCTGTCCAAGAAAAATCCCGTCGCAAGACGAAAGCAAGAGAAGACAAGCACGGTAGATGTCAATAAGCTCACTGAAGAGGAGATGCTTAATCTAGCGATGCAAAATAGTCTCGCGAATAACGGAACAACGGGACCTAAAGCTGATGATCCAGATGACCTCACAAAGAGTTTCGGAGACGTCAGCAAAGGAAAGGGTAAAGAGACTTCAGAAGAGAGCTCAGAGATAGCCGAACCTTCTCAAAATGATTCCAATTCTGGTGCAGAAGTCTCTCCTTTCTCTCAGATTGCTTCTGACAGACCGCACACTGAGCCCGAAGGTCCCCTTTCACAAAGCACGCGCATTCAGTTCAGACACGCCAATGGTCGTGTTGTTCATAGATTTAGGCTCGATGATACAGTACGTCGCATTTATGAATGGCTAAAGTCGGATCCACTGGAGGGGAAAGCAGGTGTCCCATTTGAGCTGAGAAGCGCAGGGAAAGATTTGATAGATTCTTTGGACGAAACAGTCAAGGCTGCGGGACTCAATAATGGGACTGTGATGGTGGAATTCATCGAGGAGTAAATGTTTTGAGAGTTTTGGAGATTATTGATACCAGAGAGATTGCTCGCATCGCAGGGCGAGATAATAATGAGCTGTTCACACCGTACATGGAAAAATACGCTTACTCCCCTGAAGTTGCTGATCTATTATTTCTCATAAAGAAAATCACATAGGGAGGGGGTTTCCCTTTTCTTACTTCGGCACCTCATCGTTGTACATAGACGGGACTTTCCAGCAATGCAAGGATTATCGGGTTCCTGGGCTATAGATTTATGGGAATGAGAAATGAGAATATCACGATATGAAAATATCTTTATTGACATGATAGCAGTGACATGATAGTAGTGACACTAATAATGAAGTTCTAGATGCTTGAATTACTATATTAGATTGATATAATTCTTCGGTGTTGCTCGAGTGACGTTTATGACATACAGTAGTAACCGCCGGGGGCCATACGCTACGCTTCTTAACCCCTGAAATTATTGACGTTTGGCGAAGTGGGCAAGTTAAGCTCGTCGGTTTCAACCAATTGGTTGAATGAGGTGGTTGGCTGGTAGACAAGATGCATGAATTGACAACAAAGACCAGTCATTTCATGAAAAAAATAAGCAATAATGTGTTTGTTTTCCTAGGATTTCGATTTGTTCCTGATTCTCTAATCTCAAATCTGGGAGTGCATAAGAGAAGAGTCATATTTATCATTAATCATTAAACAAATCAAAAAACAAATTTACCAACTAGGCCCATTCGTTCCTCGACAGCCAATGCATGCCTAGGTACCTTCCCCAGATTGATGAAACAATACCTATCCATCTCTACTTACTGTCTATCTATCCCGCGTCCACCTCTATTCGTGCATGCCGCTTCCCATAAGTTGCATTCCTCTAGATAGCTAGCTCGAGTTGCTTCTCTTCCATTTCTACACAATCATTCTTCTTACTCCTTTGCGAAAAAGAAAGCTTTCCATTTACAATATTTACGATTCTCAATCCCCGGACAGGCTTCGACATTCAATCTCTTTCTTCTCTATTTGATATAGTGATACACACCCTCGGTAGCCGTTGACCCCACCATACCATACCGTACACCGCGTTCACAGGCCCAGATCGCGATCCCCTTGTCCCTCTGCAGAAAAAAGGAAGAGACGGAACCAACAAACCTTCTCCCGTCTGTTCGTGTATGAGACGATACGTTATAACAAAGTAAAACTGATTGTGCCTGATACATTGGACGATAGGCCAAATCAATTCACTACTACAGCCCTTCCCGGGGTTTGGAGAGCGACGAAATATCAGCGGGGTGCTCCCAGTAAAACGCGGACAACAAACCGACAACACGACCTGACATCAGCAGTGGCGTTGTCTCATTTCTCTTTCCAACTCAAATCGATTTTGATTTTGAGTAATGGCGCATGAGATGAGTGGTGTTGTAGATCCTGAGACTTTGTATACAAAGCAGAATTGCATCGGTATGTTTGCGTACACTTTCATCATTCTGTGTAGAGGCTCATTTTTATAGGCGGTGGTAGTTTTGGTAAAGTTTACAAAGGGTATGGTTCTTCCTTCTGCCAATTGTCAATCCAATTTCTCATCTAGGCCATGTACTAACCTTCAGCAGAGTTGACAAGCGCACCGGGCAGGCTGTAGCCATAAAAGTTATAGACGTTGAAAATGCCGAAGATGAAGTCGAAGATATTATTCAAGAGATCTCTATCCTTTCCGAATTACATTCCCCGTTTGTTACGCAATACTATGGATCATATCTTAGAGGTTCGGATCTTTGGATCGTTATGGAATTCTGCTCGGGTGGTAGTTGTGGCGACTTGATGAAGCCGGGTCTGATACAGGAGGAATATATTTCGATTATTATACGGGAACTTTTGCTAGGGTTGGATTATCTTCATGGAGATAAGAAGCTTCATAGAGATATAAAAGGTTTGCATGATTTTCGGTGGGAACTTGGGTTAGATTCCAGGAGCTAACATCTGAGGACAGCTGCAAATGTTCTACTGGGCGCCAATGGACAAGTTAAACTCGCGGATTTCGGTGTTTCAGGCCAATTATCTGCTACCATGACCAAGAAGAATACATTTGTTGGAACTCCATTCTGGATGGCCCCGGAAGTCATCAAACAATCTGGTTATGACCACAAGGCGGATATATGGTCTCTGGGAATTACAGCACTCGAGCTCGCCAACGGCGAACCTCCATACTCTGATATTCATCCAATGAAAGTTTTGTTTCTCATACCTAAGAATGCGCCCCCAAAATTAGAAGGAAATTTCACCAGGGCTTTCAAGGATTTCGTCGAATTGTGCCTTCAACGAGACCCGAGAGAACGACCGTCGGCCAGAGAATTGTTGAAACACGCCTTTGTTCGGAAAGCCAAGAAAACATCATATTTGACGGAATTGATAGAGCGATACGAACGTTGGGCAGTGCATCACAAGGGTGACGATGATGACTCGGATAATGAACGAGAAGAAGCTCCCCGACCTAAGCCTGTCGATGAAGACTTGTGGGATTTTGGTACGGTCCGACCAGTTGGCGGAAGAGGGAATGGAAGGGTTGGGCTGAATACTATGGGAGAATCTGACACGAATGCAAGAGCATCGAGGCTATCAGAGGAGAATAATTATGCAGAGCGCCCGAGACAGCAGTCGCCCTCGAAATTAAAAGAACCAGGATATGTCTCGAGTATTGAAACTGTCAAAGCAACAAATTGTCCAGTAGATGCACAACCAAGGCAACCTTCTCCACAGAGACGGCCTGTTCCAAGTATTCAGACTTCAATGTCTCCTACTAAGGTCCCTCTTCCACCATCACCAGAAAAATTCAGACCTCCAGGATTGGAGACACCTAGAACGGCTGCGAGCTATATAAATAGACAAGTTTCTGATTCTCCTGATTATGATCGTACTTTGCAAGAACAACTCCAAAGAGATATGGGATTTCTGAAGCTCGGTGAGCCATCTCCACCGCCATTGCGAATACCCCCTTCTACCGCCCCAATACCAATACAGTACACGAATCAAAATACACCGCCTTCAGCATTACCACGGCCAAATACGCAACAGTCATTACCAAAACTTGCCCCTATCAAATTGCCTGAAATTCCTCCATTCCGTGGTAGCGGTCAGCCTCAACCACTGCAGCAAAGACTTCCAAACCAAGTACCTACTGCAGAGCCTCGGAAACAGCAACAGCAACAGCCACTTCCATTACCTCCCAACCCTACAGGCCTTCAGAATATTAATCTACGCCAGACAGGTCAGCAGCCATTACCTGCATTACCATCGAAAAAATTACGCAATACTCCCTCTCAAGAAAGTATATCATCTCAATCTTCTAGAGCTCCATCATCTATGCCTTCACCTGCTCCTGCTAGTCCAACCGGCGATCTTGATGCCTTGAACGATGTGATCTTTCCTGCGCTTGAAGAAGCACTCAAAAGACGTCAGTATCGCTTACAACATGCTTTTCGCACGACTGGAGCCACTCCAAAGCAACAAAGGGCACAAGCTGCTCATGAGAAATTACGAAAATTAGTTTATAAGCTTGCACATGTGTGCAAAGAAATCGACCATTGGGATAAACAGGAACCAGTGGGGATGGGGAAGGATGTGGATGTTTTCCTCGAGGGGTTGTTAGAGGAAATTTTGGTCAGGGTCGAACCAGCTGATGAGGAAGATGTGGATATGAGACGATGAATGGATCAGTGCACAATTACGAATCTTTAATGTACGATGCATGAGGTATTAGGAGTGAGGAATGAGGAATAAAGAAGACCCAGGTAGGGTCTATCATGATGGATGGATGGATCGGTTAAGTACAAACTTGATCGAATTCTACGATATGAGGCGTTGGTTGGCAGAATTGAATTTGGTATTCCAAGAGAGGATTGAGGGGTTTTGTGTCAAGTACTTGGTATCGAGGCTTGCTAGAGATGTTAGGTATTAATATTATAAAATTGAAGATGATGACTCTTCTGGAAGAAGCTTCTTCTCATCTATCTAATCAATCAGTCATCCATTCACAATCCCTTAATTGTTATTCTTTTGAATATCACTGTGTAGTGCAGGCACCTTAAGTGAGTGACTCAATGGCACTGGCGTGGGCGATGTGATAGATTGTGTGTTTGAGAAAGTTTTCCATCAATTTGAACACTTAGAAGTGGCTGGAGTATTGAGAAAGTTCTAGATGAATTTAAACATTCAAAAGTGGTTGGGCCATTGCTAAAGGGGTTCTGGGGACTGAAATACATAGTTATAGTTGCGAGTATTGATCGCTCGCTCACTCTTCATAGTTATTGTTCTCAACGGGCGACGTCTTGTGAGATATTCACACGCACTTCTCGCTTCACTTTTGCGAGTGGTGGTTATGGATACTTGCTTCATTTCTCTTCTCGCTTTTGAGCTCTGAGGTGTGTCTGCGGAAGTTGTTCATCTTTGGGGTATGTAGGTAGGTATTCTATTAAGCAGTTTGAGACATTCACTGCTTGGTCTTCTTGTTGCTCCTGCTGAGCAAAGCTTGGTTGCTTGAGCGCTTTCTGGATTTGGAAAGGGAAATTGGAGTTACCCCGCTTTTGGTTTGAGTTAGTTGGGTAGTTACCTGCTGTCGTTCATCCTCTTTCAATCTTTAACTTTTCAACTTACAACTTGCAACTTTGGCTCTTCGAAAACTCATCTTCAACAACACCATTATCTTGCTTGCTGGCGCTGACTTATTGCAAACGCTTGCAAACGCTTGCAAAAGTGAGCTGATCTAGAAGCTTTACTATTCTCTTTTTACCTTTGGCTCCTCAGTTTGCTTTACAGCCTTCTGATTCACTGAATTTTGTTTCTTATTTCCGATATTGGTTTCTTTGAACTTGAAATACTTCTTCAGATATCAACCGACTTCGCGCTGGCTTTCTATTATTACCCATTATCTCTAGATAGGTGATTTGATACATAGTAATTACCGCCAACTCTTCCCTCTGGCTTCAAGACTATCTACTTTGCGCTTTAGTTTCAACCTTCGATCATATTTTCTTCGACATCTGACCTCTTGTCCCCTCCGAAGACTTGACTTTTGACTTTGATAGCAAGTCTCTCTCGACATCTCAATCCCAAGTGTTGACTTTCTATCGCTATTTCTTGCTCGCGCGGAAGTTCCTATCTAGCATAACCAAGGCCAATCTTTTAAACTATCTCTCATCGATAAGAGTGATACCTGGGTATCTTATCAACTCGATCTTAAAGAGGGAAGTCATTCTTTCTTTAAGCTTTTGATTTAAAGGCAGAATCTCATTGCCACTCCGAGGAACCAACATTGCTATTCTAATTTATCCTTTTCATATCTTCGGCAATTCATTACTCGGTAATACTGAATTCCTTGCTGGGATTCCACAATCTATCTCATCATGATTGATAGTATTAGACCCAGTGGTCAAAACGGTTTGTCTCAGGCCTCCTCGTCTATGTTTTCAAACACTCTCGTTCTTCGGCCATCAAAAGAAGAAGCGAAGAGAGTCGATTTCCAGATTAGCGATATTATCGACTTGGAACTCCGCGATAAAGTTGCAGCAATGCTCCCATCCTATCCATCATACTCTCTTCTATATCTTACTTATGTATTAGTTAAGAGCAATGGAAAATCGGACGCGGCCCGAGATTTCCTTCACGATACACGCCATAATAGAGATCAATATCTACCGATCATTTACATCACAAGTTTAAAGGAAATTGGGGATGTCACGATGCGCGACAAAGTTGAAAGAATTATCAATCTGGCACCGGATGTGACCATCTGGTGGGCTTTTTATGCCCTGCAAGTTTGTGGGGGATCTCTTGATTGTGCCATTGGCCTATTATTTGAGGGTGTTGTTGATGCTTCTAAGGACCCTGCGATACAGGTAGCTCTTGCATCTACTAGGCGTATCAGTCCGGCAATCAGTCCTATGAATAGATTAGATGAAAGCTTATTTGTCGATTCGTCGTCAGATTCAGAAAGCTCTTTTTCTAGCGACACTAGTGGGAACGAGCCGACCAAACCCACTTTATCTCCACCTGAGCTATTGCACCAAACACCAAACAACTTATTCGTCGACACTAGCGACGATGAAAAAGACCCTAAGTCAGAAGAAGATAATGCAACTTTGCGTGCCAGCCCCGACTACACCAACCTGCGAAAGCCACCTATCGATAAAGGTAAAAGCGTGGACAAATCAGACCCGGAGGATTTTAACTCCGATATTGAGATGAGCAGTATTCCACCCTTTGAGGAGAGTCCTCGGGTCAAGAGACATGAGGAACAGAACCGCACTTGCAAGTTCTGTGGGACGGAACTAAAGAACTGGTTGATGCGAACTAGTCACGAGAAATCATGTCGTATGAAGACGAAGCGAATTTGTGTCAAGTGCAAAAAGGAAGTCTCGAAGTCGAATATCAGAAGGCACGAAGCCAGTTGTGATGGTCGTCAAACCTCAAGACGTGATGGCCCAGAATACGAAGTCCGTGATTCAACAAAAATGAACGCTTCTCGTGACAGTTCTCCGGATTTCGATTTATCCAATTCTATTACAGAAGATCAGCGTCAAAAAGTGAAGGAAATGCAAAAATACCTCCCTCACTTTTCGGTTGATAAATGCATCGAGTCCTTAGCGTTGTGCGATTATAATGTCGAAGAGGCTATAGCTTTGGAGAGGGAAACATCGACTTCAGATGACGAACTTGAAAGCCCCGACGTTCGAGGTTCGTGTAGCCGGAAGGATGTTTCGTTAAAGAGAGGATTGGGAAGCACGTCGGTAAGTTGAGCGCAATCAATGATATCAGTGTACAACTTCTGACAATACTTAGGTTGAGCGTGTCACAAAGAAGGCACGTATCCAGGTAGGCGACGGAGATACCAGTTTAGAGCCCGCGAGCCAGTGGATTAAGTATGTGCCCACTTCCCATTGTTCGAACGGCTAATGGACATTCTAATCATGCTTTACAGAACCACCTTTTCTGGTCTTTGTCAAAACTCGGCTAACCTTACAATTGTCAATCTCTCTGACTCGAAAGTTCGTTCAGTTCCGACGAAGCTTCTTTGCGACAACTCGAAATGCTTAAAGAACCTGATAAATTTTTCAGGAGACGATGTTCAAAAGGAGATAAGGCTCTTTGATGTCGAGTCAGATCTCTTTGATGCGCTCATACAATATATGGTCTGTCGCAACGTCTCATTTGGTTCTCGATTAAGCCAAACACAGAAGATCACTTCGATCGTAAACTTCATAGTTGCCGCAGACGATCTCGAAGTTGCTGGACCAGCGACTACCATGCTTCCGGTTCTTGAAAGAATTCTGAAGGAAGAACGAAAGGGACCGTCTCCTCCAACCTTTTTGAAAGGTGACCACGTGGAAAAGGTCTTTTCGACTCTTGGAGCCGGTCATCCCATTCCAAAACTATTCGTCAGTGCATCCGTGCGGCCGTTTCTCGAACACAAAATTGACAACACTTCTGTCGATGAGGACTTCGACGGCAGCTCTGAACTCGTGCCAGGCGACATCGAAATCTATCGCAACAAGCCAGCGCATCTTGCATTCAAGTTCAATAATGACTTCAGATCGGCTCTATTATTAAAGGTCTTTGAAACTACGAGCACTAGGGAATGTCGACAAAACTATACGCGCAGCAAAAACCCCAAGAATACTACCACTTGGTTCACCGATCCGCTTGACGATAGCCAATTCACTATTTGAGCCGGTCGATCTTTTCCTTATTGAGATCATCTCATATGCCTTCTGGTTTTCTTATTTCGTCTCATCGCTCAGATGCTCGCGTCAGCTCAGAAATTGTAGTAAAGAGAGCTTGCTTTCGGGCCTGGGTATGTTCAATCATGATCTGGTCTCGCTCAGCAATATTTTCGGTTGTTCATTGGAAATCCCCTTTTTGACCATCAGTACTTATTTCCTTCCGAAAAGCATTGCGAGGAGGAGGTTCGTCAGGATATGAGATGAAAGTTCCAGAGTGCATCTCCACTATGCGCCCCTAAAAATAAACGGAGAATGGATGAGCGGAAGTTATTTTTATGGTGGAAATTCGAAGGCCAGGCGGAATGAAGTGTTTATAGAATAGTTACAGATGATTCTAGGAGATGAGTGAAATGAAGATAATTTTATTTGATATTGGCTGTGAAGTAAATGATCCCACGTACTACAAAGAAAACATTGATAGCTCCCACAATGGTGGTATGAATTATAATCCGACATAACCTTGGAAGGTAGAGTCACTGCAATTCTTTGGTTCACATCAACTTGACGTGTTTGAGATTTGCAATCAGATTCAATGATTAATCTATAATCCAGTTCTATTCATAACACAAAGCATTCTGGTATCAATACTGCTCTTTTCCCACCAAAGAAAACACTTCCTACATCAACAATCTCCAAGCACCCAAAATCAATGCCGCCGTACCGGTACAAACTCCCATCAACCACTGCAACGTCTGAAACTTAACACCCTCCAACTTTTCCCTCAACCCAGCTACCTCCTGCTCAATCTTTGTCTCCGTTTCCTTGATTTTAAGATCTTGAACATTGGCCTCCTCTCTTATCCTGCCTTTTTCCAAATTCAAATCTAATCGAACGGAAGCTTGGGTTCGGGAAACCTCGTCCCGCAGACGAGCATTCAGTTTAGCGAGATCATTGGTGAGCCGCTCGTGAGAAGCGCGGGTTGTGGATGAT